ATTTTATATAATATTGTTTTACATAGATGCTAGTTATAGATGCAAGATTAAGTGTTCAACAACATTTTTCTTTTTCATTTTTCTTTTATTCTTTGTAAACACATGTCTTCAGCATTATTTCTGTATTATTTGTTTATGCTTTGTGAACACATGTGTTTAGCAACATTTCCCCCATTATTCATTTATTGTTTGTGAATATGTGTTTATGGCAAAACTCCTCATTATTCAGTATTCTTTGCAAACACTTGTGTTTAGCAAAATTTCTTACTGTTCATTCATTTGAACACATTTTATGTTCAGCAACATTCTTCATTATTCAACTATGTGAACACTTGTGTTTGACAACATTTACTCTTTGTTCATACATTTTTTGTGAACACATGTGTTCAACAGAAGTTCCTGAATCTATGTGTACTGTGTGAACACATGTGTTTAGCACCATTTTTTTCACTATGCATAAATCTAGCTACATGTGAATGTGAACACATGTGTTCAACAACATTCCATATCACATTATTAATCCAGGGCAAGTCTTAAGGAACACATGTGTTCAACAACATTTCCTTATCATCTAATTAACTACAGCAAGATAGTCAGCATGTGTTCTTGAAAACCCTAACATCATACAATTATCATTTTCTTGTAAGTCATTATCATCATTTGAATTTCAAACAGTATAAAAAATCCACACCATTTTGGGCATATAATCTAGCATGGTTTTCAAATTTCAATAGCAGTCTTGGAACTGAGGTATTGTCAGATTGCTTTGCAGGCACCTCTCTTAAGTTAAAACTTTCAGTAAAAATGCATTTTAGATTACAGTTTTGTTATTTATTATAAAAATGTTTTATCATGATTGTTATATGGCCAAGAATACATAGTTGTGAGCTTATATAACCTGACAAACTAAATTAGAGTTATATTACAAGCAATTGTTTACATTTGGTCATATAACCTGACAAAAATATTGATAACGTATTAACATTACTGCAAAGTTGATTCCTTTTGTTAAAATAGAAATTAATCCCTAAATATGATGAAGTAATATGTATAGATTATAGATGCGTCACAATTATGTGAAAATGCAGTAGTATAATGTACTGTCAATTGCTGTTAACATGCTGATCATGTTATGAAAATCAACTCTGTTTTTCTAACTTCATTACATATATTATGCATTTATGTACATACTTATTTCATAGCCATTCATCATAGATTCTAGTCAACCCAGATCGTCTTGCCGTCATTATGATAGCAGAAAACTATTTTTATATATACATGTCAGGCTTTTTAGTGTTTGTATGTACCAAATAGGAATTGTACATGTTTCTCTTGATGCCACACGCATTTTTTGTGCGTAATAACCTTTAAAAATCATTTTTGATAAAAACTGATGCTCGGTCAAACAAAGTACCAAAAATAAAAAGGATGGTGTAAGGCATGCACAAAATCATCCAACTTTACCAACTGAAAATACATGTAGCAGTAAAATATTTTGTTTGGGAACTTTTTATTCTCAATAATTCAGGTGTTGAATAACAGAGACACTTTTTGTCAATTTTGTCAATAACAATGTAATTGTTATTGTAACTGTTATTGACACTTTTTGTCAAAACTGTAAATATATATGGCAAAAGATTAAAAAAAAACACAAGGGTGATTGTACAATTTTTGAAGTTTTTATTATATATTTCATCAGTTTTAAAGATGATTAATCATTACCCTAATCAAAGTCATTTGATAACAAAAACATTTTTGACAAGTTATTGTTAGATATAAAGTACAAGTACATATCATTTTGATCACATTTTGTTATGTGATTATTTTTTTGATTTTTAGAACAGTGTGTAAAGTGGCATTATATAGTGTCCTATATGAAGTACCCAGGAGTAGGATGCTGTGATCGCATACTACCCCAGACCTTCCTTTCCTCCAGTCCCTGTGGGTGGGGCGATGAAGAGGGTATAGTATCAGGTCACAGCGGCCTACCTCTGTGATGAAGTATAGCCTTTGTATTGGTACATGTAGAATTTTTTGTGAACATGTATGTACGAAAGTGTCCGCTGAACTTTTTTTCAGTTGAATTTTATTTCTTTTTTTTATTTAAGTAATTTTCATTGAAATATGATTCTGATACATAATGCTACGACTTAGCGGAGCGTTATTTAGGATATGATTTCAGTATGATTTGATATGAAATTGAAATTTAATTTTCTTTGCATACCAGATTTTGTTTCTTTATTAATTCATTATTTTCTACTTTTAGATGTTGCTAATGATTTTTAGATGTACATGATTACTTCCCATTCTGGTTGTATAATGATTTTATGTACATTGTTTATGTCCTGTTGTTTTGTTTTTTTTTCTTAGTGTACATTCTAGTGATAGCTTTATCATTTGTAATAAAAATAAAAGATAAAGACATTAATATTTACTTTGTGTTATTTTTGCCCAGACGATTATACACTTGTATGAATGACATTCATAGTCGGATACTCACTGCCAAACCATTAACATTTATGTTATGTTACATGTTGAACGACACTGGGTATGCTGCAACAGAAGGAGCCTTTGAATTGCTGATGTTTTTTAATTTTGTAGTTCAAATGACTTGACTGAGGAGACAATTTCAAAACTAAAAAACACAAGTTGAAAATTGCAAAAAAAAATCTAAGTCAAGGGCAATACCTCTAAAAATACTATATAAATCCGCACGAAAATACCCAGGTGCACAACTACACATGCTGATCAACATTCCTGTAAAGTTTCATGACTCTAGGTCAAATCCTTTTTGAGTTACATGCGACACAAGTTGAAAATTGCAAACAAAATCTAAGTCAAGGACAATAACTCTAAAAATTCTATATAAATCCACACGAAAATACCCAGGTGCACAACTTCACATGCTAATCAACATTCCTGTAAAGTTTCATGACTCTAGGCCAAATACTTTTCGAGTTTCATGCGACACAAAAGAGAACGGACGGACGGACAAGGGTAAATCTAAATCCCCCCCACCTAAAGTGGGGACACAAAAATAGTTTGAGTATTATTTTCAGCCGAACCGTTACGAATTTCAGAGGAGAACACTTGGTTGAGGGTCAGAAGAACAAAGTTCATGTAGAAATCAGTATCAATTGGCTACAAATTCAAAACTGAGATCCCCATTTATTTCTGTAGGCTGCGGGTCGAGTTTCCTAGTGCATTTTTAGGAAAATGCAAAAGATTTTATAGTGTTTATGTATAGTTTATTAAGCAGATGTAACCTTTTTCTTTCACAGTCCTAGATTAAAGTTACAATGAACCGTGCACTTTATTTACGGTCTGTAATCGAAACGACGGGCATTCTGCGTGTTTGATGAAGATCCTAGTCCCAGGTATGTGTCCAGTAATATTAGGATTGTCAATTACTTGAACAAAAATCTATACAAGGTCTTTCAAATATAATTTCTATTTGGAAAGATCCTGATCTATATCCAGACTTCGTTTATGATTAACAGACGACATACATGTTTAATTCACAATTACAACTTTTTGAAAGAGAGAGAAAAAGTCGCAGACTGTATAAATGTGAAACGATAAATTAGACTCTCAAATTAACATGTTTGTTACCTTTGGTAAGTTTTGAACATAAAAGCCTAATAGAAATAGTGTTATACAGTTCTACAGAATAACATTGGAATACGTTTCTATACAATAAACAACGTTGACTTTTTCTTTTCCCATCTACTTAATAGTTAATTAGTTTATTCAGTAATTACAATGAACCCGCCCTTGAGATGATTAAACTATTGGACATCATTTTTTCACTCGGTTAGTCATTGTGTTTACAAACATTTGTTGTTTCCATGGTTACCTTCACGTTCATCACATTTACTTCTTTGAAGTTTGTTGTTATGATTAATCATCACTTACAGAATACTTAAAAGTACATTTAAAAAGTGTTTAATTCAAATTTTATTTTTTCCCCGAAGTAATTCACAGTAAGTAAAACCTTTGTAGAACAAACACCTCTCAACAGCGACTGAAGTCTTATCTCCCAAAGGGTTGCTGAGTACATTGCCAATATGCACTTTCTTGCTCACCGGATAAACCGGGCCTCTCCATTCCATGTATTCCGACATCAACCATGTATTCAGGCACGATCGGGCACTTGAGTAGAAACACAGACAATACCAATATCATACAATTCGATACAATACAATACAATAAAACACAATACAATACAATACTAAACTGTACTATACTATTACAATACAATACAATGCAATCTACTGATATCTTAAAAGCTAAATTGATCGATATTTTAAATTCACCGTTTGAACGTTGTCGTATTATCAAAGATATATAAGTAAATAAATAACGATATATTGTACATGTATACATAAGATCTTGAATTCTGTCCAAACCTTACCAAGATCAAAACTTAAGTATGAAAAGATAAATGTTATACATTTGACATTAAAAATGCCCGAACAGTATCTACAGGTAAATTGAAAATATCAAATTGTTACAATCAGTGCGTGAGCACTACCAGGTAAACACAAAATTAATAATCTTTCTTCCCGGGTGTTATTAGATATTTAAACAGGAAGAAAAAAGATTTTACCAATCAGTGCTAACCCGGAAAAATGACAAATACCCTACCACCACAAGAGGTAATATAAATTGACAAAAACGCACGTGATTTCAATTAAATGTTTATGTTTATGTTGAATTAAGTTATAAAATGTAATACACAATCATGTAAGTAACTATTTCCTCTTACATACATGTATATACATTGGTTTAATATAGCGACATCGCCGTTCCGCATGACTTATTCTACTTTAATTAAATAATTGTAATAGAAAATGGGTATTTCAAAACTCTTGTTTAATTGAAGCTGGAAAATTTCCAGTTTCATTATAAATAGGATTTTCAAACTTCCTATGGGTTATTCCAAAAATAGTATTGATTATATTAAGGTTGATAAGAAATACTACTCAGTATATATAAGTGAAAACATCCGACAAGGTAGACCGATAAATTAAGATAACATTGTTTGTATATATGTAATCTTAAAGATATAGTTATATCGGCCTAGTCACATGAAATTCATACGATCAGGTCGTTTATAATTATAACACTTTTATGTTATATCAGTCAATTATTTGTAGAATAATGATGAGGACGGCTGTACTGGTGTTGTTGGCTGTAAACTGGTGCATACCCCGGGGGTCGGGCACACCCCTAGACGACTACGTGAATAGACCCGACCCTACCTACAATTATGAGATTATTGACACCTATACTGGTTCCGGGTATACGTTATATACGATCAACATGACTTCACAAACATGGAAACCAGGTATATATAAGTTTTCATTCTTCTTTCTTTCTATCTTTCTTTCTTTCTTTCTTCTGTTTCTTTCTTTCTTTTTTTCTTTCTTTTTTTGTCTTTCTTTCTTTCTTTCTTGCTTTCTTTTTTTCTTTCTTTCTTTCTCTCTTTCTTTCTTCGTTCTTTCTTTCTTCCATTCTTTCTTTCTCTCTCTCTCTCTTTCTTTCTTACAGACATAATTAAATGTACATAGTATATCTTTTGCATTGTCTGTACAAAATGCATATCAGTCTCAGATAAACCTATTAGAACTGTAACAAGTTTTTTTCTACAAGTGTTTTATGTATGATAAAAAGTAAAAACAATAATGATATATAACATGTATATTGATATAAGTTCACAATCAGGAGTCAATAATAAATATACACTTTAATATGACTGTCAACCTACTTAATACATAAATCAACAAAGTCACCGTGTAAAGATATAAGTATTTTTCCCGATTTATTACACATTCATTATGATTATAACAGTTAACTACGTAGTCATTATTCAGAGCCTCTTCACTATATACAATAAATAAACGGTTTAATTTTCAGATTTACAAAGTCAGCCTGTCTGGTGGCACTATTTGTCCGTCACTGTACCTGACAAACTAGATCTACAGAACGCCGGTTTCCTCTTCATTGACGGCGGATCAAACACAAATAGGTAGATAACTTTTGTTTTTACCCCTAACCTGCTGTATTTGTATTTATATTCATTTGTCGAATTGTGCTTAAGGCGGTGCTAGGGAGCGTTGACGGTTGCTCGTATTTACAAATACTGTCAATAAACAGTTTTACTGAACCGAGGCTTCCACATTAAATTTTTGCCTTTAAGTATTTAGGGCTACATTACAGTCTCGCATTTTAAAATGTATTCATAGATAGACCGAAAGTGAGACCGATTGCATTTCATTTAGACCAAATACGAACTACAGTCAATAAATAGACGATAACTGTTATATTTATTTGTATAAGAATGGCCAAATTTTAATATTTTAGCCCACCGAAGCCGACAGACACATTTGTGGAATTAACTACCATCGTGGCTGCAACGACAAACTCAGTTGGTGCGAATCTCAAAATGGTGCCAAATCAACCTATTGTTTTCAAGGTATAATTTGGACACATTTGTTTGCAAAATGCGAAATTCACAGACATTTTAAATGAAATTACAGGATAGAAAATTAGAAAGATAGCTTGGGGTTTTTTTTCACAGTAAAGCCCCTCTTGTCAATTTATCCTCGGTGATAGACATAATGTGTCATACTTGTTCATAATGTCAGTACAAGATGTTTATATTTGTTTCGAGTTCAAAATTATTAACCGACTTGGTGTCACCAATACAAGATATATTCACCCACATATACATAACAACTGTAAACATATAACTAACTTCTAATTCGAATATCTTATCCCGTATGTTAGAGTACTTTTTCCGTTCGAAAATCTTTTCCATTGGCAGCTATATTATTCATTGCGATGGATAAGATTCTACAAAACTTTATGTGTGGTATAAAGATTTAGTTTATTTGTTCTACTTGTAGTCAGAATTGTTTGCTGTGTTATTCTGTGTTGTGTCATAGGTAGAAATTAAATACATGCACATATATTTGAATTGTTGTATCCAAAATAAGTGTCCATCGGCATATGATTAAATCTTCAGTATCATTTGAACTGTATATGGGCCGCGTCATGACAAAACCAACATAATGGGTTTGGGACCAGCATGGATCCAGACCAGCCTGCGCATCCGCGATTCTGATTAGGATCCATGCTGTTCGCTATCAGTTTCTCTACTTGTTATAGGGTTTGTAAGCGAACAGTATGGATCCTGATCAGATTGCGCGAATGCGCAGGCTGGTCTGGATCTATGCTGGTCGCAAACGCACTATATTGGTTTTGTCATGGAACTGCTAATACTTTATTTGTCTTTAACTTATAGGCTGATCCAAAACAGCAGAGAAGAACGGAAGACGCTATTATCGCATGGACGTGGAAAACGTTCGTAGATCAAAAAGGTGCCGATCCAGAAATATTGTTACGTATGCCAATGACAAAGGTAGGTTTTAGATGCTATATTGTGGGTGAGTTAGAAGTAAATAAATTTATATAAATTAATCTTAGTTTGATTGTGTCGGAAGCTATAAGCTTATGAAACACTCTCGAATCCGTTCCTGGTACAAACCAGTACTAAGTAATGAATTATTGTTTCTTGTTCAAAGAAACAACGGTTTGCCCCTGACAGGGTTTGAACACAAAAATGCAAAGAAATGGGTTATCACTAGATGAATGGGCACACTCCTAGAACTTCAGCTACATACTTTTATACGTTTTATAATGGTTAATTTTCGAAAACGTTTCATACCACACCATTGAAACAAACCTGTATTTATAGAAAAAAAGTTATATCATATTTTCTCTCTCTTTTTTCCTGCATTTTATTTCATCAATATTTCTCAATATTACATTTATAAGAATGTAATAAGTAAAATTATAAGTGAATATTTTAAAACGCAGATTTATATTTAACTGAAACTTGTTAAATAATGCTCTATTGAAGCCTACTGTTTTTATTCTGTTCAAAACATGTTTGTGTGTGTTTGTTTTTCCTCAAGGCTGGTGTGCGTGCATTGGACACAATGAATGATTTAACAATGAAGAAGAAAGGCGTCGGTGTAGACAGATTTCTTGTTGCGGGAGCTTCTAAGGTTAGTAAGCTATTGATGGTTCATTATTTTTTTTAAATATGTGAATAATTCTTTTGATCGTCCTTGTGGCTTAGGGGTTCTCTTAAGTTTTACTGGTTGAGGCATCAAATTGAAGCCACCGTTTAACCCTGCGTGATCGTAAATAGGCTTATTACTGAAGTCCATGCATCTCTTAGCTCCAGCATGCAGGTGAGGTGGTGTTAACCCCAGATGTTCCTTTAAGTTTGCATCACTGGAGGTTATCTAAGATCATATTTCCTGTTTCGGTGCCATATGACCTAAACTGTGTTTGTGCGCTGTAAAACAAACCCAAACAAACAAAACAAAAATATGTTGATATTTATGTTGTTTCGGAGAGATGTACGTTTCAATATTAAATTATTTCATTAAATTAATATTGTGCTCTTGTTTTTTTATAATATATCTACAGAGAAACTTTTTCGCGATTGAGCTATCGGTATTATCATTGAAATGCTTGATAACATTTCGAGTTAATAACAGACTAAAACATCTACTAAACTCACTCAAATATATGATTTCAAAACTAAAATCCCTTAAAAAAGCAATGGGAAAATCCAGAGCAGGACAATTTAAGAATAAAAATTTAGCAATAAAAAGGTGAACTTGTATCCGTTCGGCTCAACTGGCGAAAGTCTTTAAATTGCCTTATTACAACTAATTGCCTTATAACAACTAATTGCCTTATTACAACTAATTGCATTATTACAACTAATTGCCTTATTACAACTAATTGCCTTATTACAACTTATTGTCTTATATCTGTTATGTTTCAGCGAGGCTGGACTACTTGGACGGTTGGTGCTGTAGACAAGAGAGTTATTGCCATAGCACCCATTGTCATGGATCTGCTTAACATGCAAACTGTAAGTTAAGCAAAACTTTAAAGTCCCGTTTTGAGAAAATGTATTTAAAAGATAATTACACACGCATTTACAATGTATATCACGACCCACGACGTCTATTGTTTTTTGGGGTTTTTTTTTTTTGTTAATGAAGAATCAATGTTCTCATAAGAGTTGTACTTGTTTTTTTTTTTTTTTTTTTTTTTTTTTTTTTGGGGGGGGGGGGGTTGTTAGTTTTGTCATGGTCCATTTACATTGTACTTAACTGTGAATATTTTCTCAGAAAAAGTTTATGCAATTCCTTTAAATGTTTCATCAAAATCAAAAGTGGACTGTAGTTTTTGGAATAAAGTTCTCACCAAATTGCAGAATTCATTTCTGTTTTCAGAACTTACATCATTATTATAGAGCATTAGGTGGCTGGACGTTCGCCTTCGATGATTACTATAACTTGAACTTTACACAAGATCTGGATAGCCCCTATATCAAACAAATGGCATCTATAATTGACCCTCTCTGTAAGTTTGTTGTTGATGTTGTTGTTTTCCTCCTAACAGATTCTTATTTTCAGTTCAGATAGTTTAGTTAACGGCGGATTAAGCAAATAATCAAATATCTAACTGCTAAAGAATGATATAAAGAATGACCATGATAACATAAAAGGGAACACAACTTAAGTACCAAATACAATGTAATTATATTAATTATTATCAAGTGAAAACATTTAAGGTTAAAATATTGCCAAAGGAAAATGAAGAAAATCCAAAGAATGATAATATCATGGATTACTATGAATAAAGAATATTAATTTATCAATTTGCAATATGAATAAAAAATATTTGCTGTTGAATTTTCTTTGATTGTGTTTTCCTTCTTTTTCATGAAACTTTATACAATTGTACTGATATTCTTAGTTGTTTGCTTTCTAAATATACATTAGACTTGATCTATGCCACCAAAATATAGATATACCGATGCTAAATCTAGTTGTAAAGTCTACTTTGAGTAATATATTTTGCCATTCTTTCACGTTGTTTCCTTTGCTAATCAATTTAATCCTACATTTGTTCATTTTACAGCATACAATGACAGATATGAAAATAAACCAAAACTTATCACAAGTACAGGAGGCGATGAGTTCTTCATGGTTGATGATTCTAAATATTATTTTGATACCCTCAAAGGACCAAAATACCTCCGGTAGGTTTTCTATTGTAATATGCCTGATATCATATAGATGAATCATGAAGGAGTACAGTTTGTAGCAAGCTTGTGCGTCCTTGCAGTCTAACCCTCTTAGTATTTTGATATTTGATTCCAAATTATAGGTAATCGATTTTTCTCCATTGCAAACCAGGGTAAATCATAAACACAAACTTAGCAGTATAACTGTTAAAGTAACATTAAAGAAAGAATATTAATAATGTCTCAGAATTATTATTTACAATTTACATGAGAAAATGCATAGAATCACTGTAACTTGTTGTAGAAATACAAACACATTTGAACTATTTCTGGTATGATTATTGGCGACGCCGGTGAGCGGCGTCGTCTTTTACGGAATGCTTCGCCCTTTGGCCCATGGTAAGAGCTGTTATTATTCGCAGTTAATGTCATGTTGTGTTGATATGTTTTTAAAAAATCAAGTAAGCAAATATGTTGTTTAATTGCAGGATGATACCAAACGCTGAACACAGTCTCGCGGGCCACGAGATCGGTTTGTTGTTTGGCATACGAGCGTTTTACTTGTCAGTCATGAGGGTAACTATCAGACCACATTTGATATTATTATTTCTAACTTAACTTTATAAGCCTAACCTTTTTTGATCCGGATAAATAAAATATGGGTGCCATTTCAGTTATATGCAAATAAATTCGTTCCGAAAAGTGGTACCAGTTGCCAGATATCTCCAGATGTTTTGTACGAATCTAAAATGAACCAATACCAATCTTCTGATTGCATTCGTTTTAAAAGCAATATGAATAACATTACGACTTAATAATGATTTACGTGTTTATATTGTCGTCTGATTGTCGTTTTTTTTTCCAGAACAAACCTCTACCTCAAATTAGCTGGAAACTAAACACTGTAAGTACTTATATCGTTTTTATGGTTATTGCTGTTGCTGCAGTAGTTTTTGTTGTTGAACAAATTCACAAAAACATGATAATTAAGAATAAATTCATCTTATTGTTATATTTTTCTGGTCCTTCGGGATCATCGATTCCAGCACTTTTAAGTGTTGAATATTCCTCATGTACAGACTCGGTCAGAGTCTGCAATTTTCATATTATTTTGTTGTGATTAATGCTTCCAAGGGATCACCCTTTCTCCAGATCTTTCATATCTTTCTCTTATGTATTTTGCTGAACATCTATTTATTTACCGTTGGATTTACAAATAGTTCCATGAAAATTCTCTCTTATTTAATTCACTGTAACATTTTTTTTCTCTAATATATACCATTTTTAATACGCAGACGTCAACTGGCGGGAAAATAACGTTGATGTCAGACACTATACCACAGACAGTTCACTGTTATCATGCGACAACATTAGACGCAAAAAGGTAAAGAAAATATATGTTCAGTAATTATTCTATATGTTTTTTATGTGACTAATGTCATGCTGGGCACCAACATGACCATTTTAGATGGCGAATGTGCTGAAATTTTGTACTCATTTCTATGGAACATGTTGTTTTAATAAAGAATTTGTAGACATCAAAACAAAAGAGGACAGAGTTTATCAGTCGTCACATACTTAGAATATAAAAAAAACTTTTAGAAATAAATACATGTAGTGAGATTTTAGTTACAGTGGTTCAATTTGCCCTATGTGCGTTCCAGATAAAGACTATAATTATATGGAAAACCACCGAATAAATTTGATTTTTGTGGTCCTTTTCTCATCTAACTATACCCTAGCTATGTTTTTTACATGACCCGTTCAAGTGAGTGGTAAGTTTTAATTTGAGAACGTGTAATACATGTTGAAATTGTATCTTTTGTAGAAAAGATTTTCGTCTGCTCAGAGGGACACCAGGCGATCCAAGTAAACCCCAGGTACATCCGGTCTTATGGAAACAACAGTATGTTCCACAAACGGTAAAAAACAAATTCAAGCATATTATAATGAAATAAATAAATTTTGTATTACATAAGAATCAAAATACGCACATAGTGCTTTGAATTTTAACAGTTTTAGTTCGAAACATGAACGATTAAGTTGGAGGATTGTTTTCCTAAAAATATTTGTTATTTTCTCTGTATTCTAGTGGCAATTATGGATTGCCTAGGTCATGAAGTTACACCTGTCACTATATTGTCGTCTGCTTTTGATTTTTAAGGGGCAGCTCAAAAAGAGGACAATTTCAAACTATATTTCTGTTGTTTGTTTACTGTTGTACTAAAATATGTACTAAATAGTTGTAGTATATGTACATTAGTGCTATATCCAAATAATTAGATATTATTCTGTCATAATGTACTATAGAGCTCTACAACATGGGAAATGGAATTAAATAATCCAGTTGAGGGATGGACGGCCTTCTTTATCCAGGTATGTTTTGTAGCATTTTATTCAAGCTTACGACAGTGTATGAAAGTTTGTTTTTTTCATTTATAGATTTTTGTACACAGTCAATGTTTTCAGTTTGTAATCGATTCATTTTATTTTTTGTAATATGTACAAACTGTTACTACTTTCTGATAGAAATTCAAGCTTTCTTACATTTAAGTATAAAATATTTTGAAACCTCTCGCTCTCATGGAGCTATGTGATTTACATATAGTTTGACACAAAATCCCGCCATTTCCCTTAAAACAATGATCGTATGTTTTGAATAGTGTTTATTTATTGCGCTTCTTGTAAGGAAATGTGTAATGTTAATATACAATCATGAGAAGAAACAATAAAACTTTGTTCGCTATGAGCTGAACAAGAAGCGAAAAAATATCCGTTATAATCTGTACGCTACGCCATGTTAATAGGCATGATAAATATAGCAGTGTTCATTATAAACATATATTTTAATTTTGAACATAGAATGGAAAACATAGGACAATATGGGTACGATATAGCCGGAAGCTAGTTATAACAGGAAGTTTGTAATATCCGGAAGTTCACTATATCCGGGGAAGCTTTTTAGAATTGAAATGTATTTTCAGGTGACGTTTGCTGGTGTAGAGGATTCTGTATTAGAGTTTACCACCCAGACGTTGATAATTCCCGACACAGACCCGTTCCCTGATTGCCTCGGACAGCAATGCAAGGGCACTCTTGTGTAGACAGTCTTATGTTGTAAATTACGACAATGTGAATAGAATAGTGTGATAACCTAATTAACTAAAGATATATTGATGTTCACTTTGGATTGTGACTTAGTGAATGCATTATTGTGTCTTCTTTGAATTCTCAGGAATACTGTAATGAATTAGTTTAACCTGTCAGCTATTTATAAAAAAAACCCACCCACTGTTAGTTTAATTTAAATTTGATCGCTATTTAAAGAATAACATGAGTTATTTTAAAATCATAGATTGGTATACATGTATATTGGTATTGGTAGTAGTGCAAATTGTTTGATTGAATATATAAAGACAGGAATGAACACACAATTTTACCAAAACAGTCCGAGTGACTCTAGTCCTTTCTCGGTGCTCGATTTTAATTTTAAGCTACTGTCATATGTATGGTAAACAATGTCCTTAATGTCCTTATTTTTTTGAATGTCAGTAATATTTAAGTGCAATATTATGTTTATTCTATATACATGTATATAATCCTTTGTATGTTTATGTCATTTCACTTCTGCCAAATATAAAACATACAAAAGTGCAGAAGTTGGTTTTTTATCATTTTTATCTCTGTAGCTGGTGACTTAACCAGAAACTCATTTTACAAGTTATAATAGTTAAACAATACTGACAAGGTAATAATCTGTGGAGAATAATGACAAATTGCAGTATTTTTTGATAATTTGGGAATCGTAAATACTTTTTAAAAGTAAGAATACAACGCTGTTGCCAAGAGATCATAGATATAATCGATCGATTGACTGATTAATTGTTTTTAAAATCGTCCAGTTTATTTTTTTAGACTAATCATGACGAATAAGCATAAAATGACAATTCTTGAATGTGCACCTTGCTAAAATTTCAAAACGTTTATACGTCTGTCAATAGACAGTCGCTCGTGTAAGGCACTGCGAACGCTCCTGTTTAAAATTCTCGGCTGCTCAATTACGGGCATGCCGGTGTAAAGCAGAAATGCTCAGGACCTCGATAAATCATACCTTTGACATGTTGTCAGTGTAACCGTTAGACCACATGTCTCCTCCTTTTAAAAATATTGATAATTTTCCTGGTATAATAAGGTATGGCTTACAGATATTATAGATAAAAGTACTTTACCAAATTAATAAAACATGACTTTTTGAGGAAGAAAAAAAAACACAGTCACTCGTTGTGTATATTTCCTACAATTTTATTTCTTTAATATGAATAATGAAACTTTGAAGATTAAAAAACGAAATCATACAGTTTTACAAAATTAATTTTTGCAAATATCAGAATTTTTACACACAACTAAACAAAATATAAATACAACTCAATGACAAACTGTACATACAAACTCGTATAAAATAAAGGTATGAAAATTCCTGAAAACTAAGGACATCAGAATTGAATATCTTCCAACAACTAGCACAAATTTTTGCTTTTATCATACATGTATATAACAAACGGTGATGATTCAACCTAAATGAAGTAACTTTTAGAATTTTGCCGAATATCAAAATAAACAGGATTCATAAATACACTATTATTTGTTAGTCTGAATGTTTGTTGCAAGATCAGGCGGTGTTTGTGTTGTAAGTTGACTATGTCTCAAAATATCTTCCACCTTTTTCGAGATTGGTGACGAACTTGATACATTTTTGTTCAAAATGATTTATTTCGTAATTTGTATGCACCTTTTGGTTTGATATTTATGGAACATTTTCTACAATTATACTCCAGAAAATCACAAAAATGCTAAGACTCATATTCAGTGCAAACATGAATGTCTATAACAATCTGGCAAAACTACCTTACAGGCGGCTGTGCATTTCTTCCATAAATTCTAAAGATGACTATAATCGTTTTGTTAAGACAAGATAGAACGCTGATAGCAAAAAAAGATTGAGATGTACATCTTGTTTCATAGTAACATGATTTCATATTAACATGTTGTCATATCATCAATTTATCAATATTCTGTCTTTTCCGCTCTTGATATCCGTGCGCCATCTTTAAATTTTAGTACATTTCTTTTAAATTTTATGTAAATAGATCAAAACTATAATTTTCTATTAAATGCTAAAAAATGATTTTATATTGTGTATTCTGTGTAATATTGTTGTTATTTTGAAACTATTCATACAAGCACTCATAACAATCCGGCTGACAAAGCACATTTACCCCGAACGACCAATCATAACAAATATGCAATCACAAAATGAGCGAGATCATCATCATCACAAACATTGCGTAAATGTCGTTCCATAGTCCAGCCGCAGCACTCTGAAATTAGAAATGGAAAGTAGAGATAGGTGCTGTTTCCTTACCATTATTGTATAATTATCAAAAGAGCGCTTCAGTAGAATTCAGTCTTTTAACCATTTAACAGACGCATGCAAAGTCCACAGACCTGGGATATGCGTGACACATACACGTTCTTGACAACTTGGTTGACAACAATAACTGTTTTCAAAATTTAATACTCAATCGGTGTCCTTGCTTTTTCTTCGTGTTTTTTTTATTATTTTCATTGTTATTATTATTATCATTATTATTCATTCATTCGTTCGTTCGTTCATTCATTCATTCATTCATTCAAAAATTAATAAATCATAATAAATAAAGATTATACTTACAGGACATATAACTGAAAAAAATAAATAAAATAATAAACGAAATTAATACAAGTATCGTTGATTGAATGGTAGATCGAAATGTTAAATAAAGTATTTAAATTGTCCAGTTAATGATATGTTTCTGCGTGTTACAACTTTTAATTAAATGAGTGCATTACTTTAGCATTCAAGTAAACGTACAAGTAAGTTAATAATATTCTTAAATTTAAATTGATAAAACTTATATTTGTCAAAAGTAAAGACTGAACATAATTTGCTGAGAGTTTTACTTATATTTCACAGGGTAATATACTTTATTGCCATATAAATCAAATACATATGATAAAATTTGATTAAGATATTGTACTTCCAACTGCTATATCATTTAAATGAACGCTTAAAGAACGGGCTATTGAAATGTTTACATACCGGATGGTAGCATCACCAAACTTCCGCCGGCTGAAGGAACGGATGTCGGCGTCTGTGAAGAGTGACACAGTTGTGGGTATTGTGTCGCATACGTGTAGTCGCCCAATGTGCCAGACACCTTAAATGAAATTATATGCACGTCATGAAAGAATCTCAAGAATTTAATGATTTTAGGCTGTTAGATCTCGGCGGATTTTATTTAACAAATCAACGACCACACACAAGATTTTAATCAAAGCAACATGCGTCCAGAAAATCTACCGTTGTACTATAATTTCAAAACATCCCTTCAAATACATAAAATAGTTGAAAGATATCGAAATATCGCTTTAAAACTTTCCTTTTTTTTACATTTTCGCTTCGAAAACAGACAGTCCGTTTTCCCGAAATCGAGTTAGACCGTCTTTTATTATATACTAATGATGTACTTGAAATTAAATTTGCGTGGAAGCATTTCAACAAAAAATACATATCACCTGATTGAACTAATTTTTACCGAATCTATTATTCTATTGCGATTAAAAAAAAATTACATGTATCATTCTGCTGTTAATTTTTCTTTCATGAAGCAGACGACACTTACCAAGCACGTGAATCTGAATGTTGTCGCCTCGTCTGTTGTGTTGTCAAGGTTCAGCAGGAAGGTGTACGTGTACGAGTCAATACTGTGACTGAACGCACACTGTAACAGACCGCCAGCTGAAATAGAATACATGTAATTCTTAGACTTTAATACGACTGATTAAGTTCCATGACCTCTGAATAACAGCGCAACTTACAATTGTGGTATTATATCAGAACAAAAATCTGGCAAAGCAAAGGGGGAAATCCCTCGGCAACAATGAAAACAACAAAATAACAAGAAAATTGCAGAGTATGTTCACGAGGGATAATAAAAAAGTGCAACATGCCACACGCCCCTTAGCAACGGCGTAAGCGGTATTCAATCATTCTTCAACGTTAAATGTGCTTGAATGAATGACCCCGAAGGTTCAGAAAAATATAATACTTAAAGAAGGCTGCTTTAAATTAGAGCGGCTACTATTTATATTTGTGAGACAATACAATAAATAATGATACTACGCAGTAAACAAATTAACGTTTTTAGCTCTTCAGAATGTACGGTCACAGAAACAAGCATTTAAAAGACTTAACGTAAACAAATAAGGATGAACAGTTTGGTTTTAAGTGTGAAAAAAAGTTTATCCAAGCTCGATTGAACCACTTTCGATTTCGTTTTCTAGAACTAACTAGATCTAGTACTGGTACATTCTGGAGAAGAAATATATTTTAATAACATCTTATATTTGTATAACATATTATATTTGTATTACCGGAAAACGCAACAGGTGTGCTACACAGCGACATATTCACTGTTGGCTTTGTAACGTCCGTACAGACGTCCAGGCTGCTGTTGCCTAGTCCACATGTTGTACTGGACGACATTGTCAATGTGTAATTGTACTGACCACGTATATCGTTCGGACAATCTTGCTCGGCGTCCTCAAAAGATCCTGTGAATTACACGCAATTGTATTCTTCAACTTTATAGTACCAAATTAACAATATAAAAATTACCAAAATTTCTACTATAAATAAAAATCTTCAGACTTTAATCTATACATAAGTGATAATAGCTCAATAACTAGATTCAAGACGAACAATAAAACTTAGTAAAAGGTCGTGTCCAATCATGCCTTTGTCTTTAAGAGATATTCCTATTAGCACAAAGCGTTTGCATGTTCTTTTAGTCCTCTTTACTAAAGATCCATTATGTCCCAAAAATGCTATTATATTTTTTTATCAAAAACTTTTTAAGCACTGGTGTCCTTTACAATTTTCGAAAAAAGGACTCATTGGCCATATAGCTGACCCCAATTCGTTTGCTGTTTGAAAATAAGATTTAGTATTTTGTGTGCCATTTTGTTTATGCATGTATTTTGAATTCATTAATAATTATATTAATTATATTATTAAAAATGAAAATAGTATGTGCTTTGTTAAACCTATACGTTACCTTGTTTGACAAGCATCTCCCAGGAAGTGATGTCAGGGGTGTCGTCACATATATCCAGCTTTGTCACCGACGATATAGAGGGGTACGCTTTCAGACGCTCATTGTACGCTTGTGGATTCACCCCTATTAAGACAATGACAACGAAAATTGAGGGAAAAAACAAATATCTTTCTTAACAAGTGAAAGTTTCTTTACAGTTGGTAGTATGAAGTTGTTTAACATGTAAGCAGAAATATCTCTGGTGGAGGTCGAAGTTAATAAGTTTATGATAATAATTATATGTTGATAAGTTTATTAATCTATAACTTACTTGTTGTGTGGTAGTACACAAGGGACCCTTTCGTAATCTCACTAAATTCTAAACAGAAATATGCTCTGTGTAAAGCGTTGTGTAGCGTGAACAACTCGGATCTGAGAAAAAAAATGAAAAAATGTCAATAAAGTCGTATCTTAGATTTTGGTCCAATGTTCTAAGATATACAGTAGTCAGAGTTAAAACTCAGACCTCTGGTACTCGATTGGTCAGACACCCCGCACAGAACAAGCGCTGCCCAATGAAAATCCTTAAGTGCGAGGCAGATGTCAGAAAAGTTCTGTAACCTCGAGGCCAGCTTTGCTTGCTTGTGTGTAAATTTTCAAGTATCAGCAATTTTGAAAGCTGTTTATGTTCATATTAGAATTGGCAAGATTTTTTCCTAAATCATCTTTAGCGTTAATAGTTGAAACCATTAAGCCATCTTAGTGTTTTCAGATTGTAGCATGCGGAAATGCGTAACGGATACGTTAAATATGTTTGCGTGGTATGGAAGAAAAGGCCTGATAGCAAACAGTACAGACAGATAGCAAACATACATACAAACATATACTAATTAGTTGTTGATATTTGATAACGTAAGAAAATATATTACCAGTATTTTGTACATGTACTTCAGATCATCCTATGTATAAAAGAAGTAACTTTGTTGAATTATGTAAATGATGACATCATTGATTTCCCGGTGACATATAGGCCCAAAGGGCCGGGTGCCTTTTCTTTCATCTGTATATTATGTATTTATGTCATTTATGCACATGTCACGATAATAAACTATATCTTATCTTATCTTATCTTATACTAGATTTACATTATTATAAGATCACATTATCAGCTTGGGAAAACGAAGAAAAAAAACCCCGGCAAATATTTGAAAATAATGAAATTTAACGGTTTATCACTGCTCTAATTCAATTGAATTACATATATGACATAAATATAAATACTTTTCTATGGTAACTTTTCAATAGTAAGGTCACATTATCAGTCGGGGCAGAAAAGAGGGGAAAAAAGTCAAGAAACAATATCTCTTCGAGTTTACTTAATTTTGCTCTTATTTTTTCCCATACAGTATCTTTTGACCAATTAACTTATTTGCGCATGTTTGGTTGTATTTGATGATGTTTTAACACTAAGTCTTACCTGATAACATACGTGTCAGCAGAATTCATGAAACACGTATATGTTAATGGTCCAGTCAATGTCGTATTAATGTCGCTAATTGTCGTCGAGTTAATGATGAGGGCTCCTCGGCGGCTACTGTACCAGGTACCAGTCCAAGAGCTCGGAAAATCACATCCTTCCGCTGCAAAATATAGTTCGAGAGGTCAGAAATCTCGCATTCTCATTTTTTTCCAGAGCGCGATTTACATGTAATTCTAACAATTTCCAGCGTCTAACCAAAAAACCAAATCAACAAAACATTGTTTAAATTTTTAACTGATTTAATTAGGGTCTTTCAAATAGAATTTTTGAAAGATCCCGACTAATTTGAAGAAGAAAAAAATTAAGACTTTGGAAGAAAAAACACTTACCTAAAAACAACGACGATGACACAATAAATGACGAAACAAATAGTGAATAAAACAACTTCGTAAAATCCATGAGATATGATTTTAGTAATAAATAATAAAATAGAGACGAAATTTTATCAATTAATTATCAATCAATTAATTATTCACAAAGTTATTAATTAAATAAGATTCGTCTCTAAGTAAAAATATACGTTTTGTTAACTTTTCTAAAGTAAATGAAACAGAGAATTGGAAAAAAATTCAGCGCATTGATTTATTGGCCGAACTTTGGCTTTGAAAGACGAAAATTTCATGAATGTGTCAAAAACACCGGCAAAATTTTTATATCAGTTAAAAGAGTTGTCAGTTTTTAGTGTATGACAGTTTCAGATATTGTGAAACACATTTACTCCCTTAAAAGAAATTGTTTTGTGTTTTGTCATGCTGTCGTCACGCTTGCATAATAATTTACATCATTAATAGAATGTTTTAACTTAAAATTTTAAAAATGCTATATTAACTATTGGTACTGGATTAATTTTTGTTTTCTAGTTCCAGCTAGGTTTCATTGTATTCTTTTATACAAATTGTTGTACGAGTTGATAGTATTTTTCTTTTGGAACATTTCATTTCATTTTACAAAAATACTAACAAAAACAACAAAACTACAAAAATACTAACAAAAACAACAAAATAACAACTACAGACAAAATGATTCTGGTAATAATGATAAATAAATAAAATTGACTTATAATATTATTTATTTGCAGCAATAGCAAATAGCAAACAGTAAGAAATTGTGCGGTATATCTCTATAAGCATTATGCGCTACATACATGTACGAGATACATGTAGGCCTATATAGTTGTATATCACTTTTGCTGATATATATGTCCACGTGCATGTATGCCATAGCAAAGATAAATGGATCAAAGTCAAAAATGTTAGGTATTCAACAGCGAGAACATATGAAAAAAACAACATTAAAAAACATTGAATAATTACAGTGATATTATGCCCATCTAAAAGTAAATAATGATAGTGTTCAGGCAACATTCAAAATAACATTACTTTTTTGGCATTTTTTTAAAAATTTTGTCCATTTCATAATAAACGTCACATCAAGGTTAAGGTGAGAGTTGGCCTACAATGTATTTTCGCTAGCCCAAAACATGTATAATTGCATTTTACTCAGTATTGTGAAACAAAAACTTAAATAATACGACTTGGTGCTTAAACTATTCTTATTCAAATTACAATATTCCCATATTTACAAGTTGAAAATAAATGGATAAGTTAATTAGGCCTCTGCATATCTGAAAGACCCTGGCCATAGTTATACAAATTGAATATAGAATCTTGGAGTCAACATCCGGACCCCACCAGTCCACCCATACAATAATAAAAAGAGAAAACTCATAAGTCTTTGCAATATCATCAAATTATTAAATTCTATAATAAAGCATCACTTATTTGACGAGATGGAATAATATAGAGGTGTTCAACCTATCTAAGTTAATAAATTTCATAGCTTTGTATTCAAACGGACACAGGATATTGAATTGCGCATGTCCAAATAGTTTCCAACAAAAACAAACGAAATCAAGAATTTCCTGTTTTATCAAATTGAACTGCTTTCACAATGTCTTACAGAGATTTAAGAAGTAAGCGTGCATAAATTTCACTTAATAACTTCATTTTCCCAAGTCAGCACATCGGAATCCTATGAGTAACAGTAAAATTATGTAGTTTCAAGGGTCCATGTCTGGTTAATGGATGGGTGGAGAAAGAATCAAAGATACAATTATTAAGTCTCTTTTACAAACGTTGTTGAAGTGGCAATCTCCTGGTTTAGACCCCTATGTATAGCTTTGTAGTTCACTTACTGTAAGTGACTTACAGGTTACATGACAAATGGCTTTTTTGTTTTGTAATCAGAATGCATTGTTCAATGTGTGCTGGCTGGTTTGTCCCACAAGAATCAGGTTTCTCACCAAATTAGAACACTTTGGCGTAAGAGACAACCTACTCCATTGGATCCGGAGTTTCTTATCTGGATGAATGCAATGAGAATTGGCAGAGGGCCATTTTTCTCCAACTGCACCTGTTACATCTGGAGGGCACCAAGGAACAGTCCTCAGTCCACTGTTTTTCCTGGCTTGTATCAATGACCTGCCCTCCAGAGTGAGATCAAAAGCCAAATTGTTCACGAACGACTGGCTTCTGTATAGAACAGAACCATATTTACAAAGGCCGACAGCAGGCAATTCCAGATGGACCTTGACAACTTTCAACACTGGGAATCAGACTGGCTAATGCACTTCAACCCAGACAAGTGTCAGGTTATCCCTGTCTCCACCAAACGGAATCAACGCATTGTCCCATACTACATTCATTGGAAAGATCTGGCTGTTACAACCAAGGCCAAGTACCTAGGAGTCAACATCTCCAACAACCTATCATGGAACCAACATATTGATAGTGTCCGTAAGAAGGCAAACAACATAACTGCCGTCCTACGGAGGAACCTCTCATCCAGTCCAAGTAACATCAAGGACAAATGTTTCAAGACTTTGGTCAGACCCAAGGTAGAATATGCATCCACTGTCATGGACCCTCACACCAAAAAGAACATAGACAAATTAAAAGCGGTGCAAAAAAGAGCATCTAGGTTCCTGACTAACAACTACAATACCACCAGTAGTGACTAGTGTCACAGCAATGATTGACAGGTTAAAATGGGATAGCATACAACAACGCATAACCAGATCCAAGGCCACAATGATGTATCGTGTTGTTAACTCCCTAATTGCCATACAACTGCATCCCCAATTCAGCCAATCAGGAGCACCACAAGGGGACATCAACTACAGTGACATGTGACCAACGCTGAAAAGCATTTTACTCTATCTCATTGCATTGAGAAGTTGCAGCACTTTGAAATCAGTTTTCATGGAAAAAAACAATGCAAAATAGTGATTTTTCGCAATTTTAAGATGTCCCCCCCTCGTTGCCATGGTAACATGAAATTTAAGATTAAGCATGTTGTTACAAAGGTTATGGTTCAGTCAACATACGTGCCAAGTTTCATCAGTATTGAAGCATTTTTCATAGTTTTATAGCAGTTTGAACTTGTAACAGGAGGCTTTTCAATGAAAACGGCCGTTTTTCACAATATGCTCATGGGGTAAAAGGTGAAGGAAACAGGACATGTTTTTTATCAGTTTTTAAATTGTATATACAGGCCTGGACTCCCCATCCCTCACACACTATTTAACCACAGTGATAAAATGCCGCAGCAGCAGCCCTTCACTATACTGGAAGAAGAGGAACGCTTTTCAAATTTATTGTCTCATTTAAATATTTTGTTCTTTTATCTGATGTTTTTTCATTTTCCTCTCATTTGACAGGATAAGCAGACTATTTATAATTACTCAACCTTCTGCATATTCTACTTAGTACTTATAAGTACAAGCAATTAATTGTATACTGTGTCTATGAAGGAAATTAAATCTTGTGTTCACATGGGCCACTTTCAGACAAAGCTTGATAACACAATCTTGTGTTCACATGGGCCGCTTTCAGACAAAGCTTGATAGAACACTGACTGATAACACGGTTACATTTGACGTCAAAAGTGGGATGGCGATAGTATATACCACCTGGTCCAACTTCATATTAATTTCTATACCCATTTAAAATTCTAGAATGAATATAGTGAGGAGTATGTCTCAAGTCAAAATTGAATTATTCAAAAATGTATAAATGACCAGTTTGCTAAGTCAGTTGTCCAGTGGTATTGAATTTCTAGAGTTTGAGTCCCCATCACCCTGCTTGTTTTCCTTACCCTATGATATTTTATGATTTCTAGAAATAATTCATACTACATTCTGCTTTCAGACTTCACTGAGATGATGAGAGCTCTGGGATATGTTCGCCTTATTTCCATGGAAAACTTTAGAAATCCCAATTTCCCCTTAGTGGCTGAAGTTCTCAAGTGGTTAGTGAAAAGGTAAGAATTGCAAAGGGTAATTCTATGAATTATATTCTGTTTAAAGCATTTTATTCTGTATTGGTGTATCATTTAATTTGTGCCAACAAAATTAAAACAAAATTTTTGTGTGTTTAAGTTTGGTATGGAGGGTGGTAAGGGTTGAGTTTGATCAATGAGTGAAAATAAATTGACCAGTAAGAAATAAAGATATCATGTTTTAATTTTAAATGAACCAGGTTGTTGATACAAATTATCTTAAAATATGCCATAGTTTAATACTTAAACTTACATGCAAAACAATACATTTTATAGAAAGTAGAGAAACTTTCAAAGTATTGATATTTTCTAAGAATGATATTTTAGGTTGTTTCATACATGTATCAAGTACAAGTAGAGAATCTAATAGCGAACAGCATGGATCCTGATCAGACTGCGCGGATGCGCAGGCTGGTCTGGATCCGTGCTGGTCGCAAACCCATTATGTTGGTTTTGTCATGGCACGGCTCAAATATGTTTCATTTTATTTTCAGATACGATCCAAGTGCAGATATCAATGGTGACACTGACACTGAACAAGATAGGATTATCTTTATCAAATCTGTAGCAGAATTCATGGTATGATCACTATCTGTATAAATTATTATGATATAGTTTCCAATTAATTTACCCGGAATGTTAATTAATTTGTATAATCATAATGGACTTGCCCTGCATTGCATTTGGACCCTTCCATTTTAGATGATAGGTGTTTTTTGATACCTAAATGCTTAAACCAATTAGTAAACAATGTAGAGTCGGGCCAGATTGCATGTTTCTTTTGTTATATAATCTGCAAGAAATATTTATTTAAAACGGCTTTAAAACATAATGTTTTTAGCCTACCGAAATAAGAAAGAATGTTTTTTATTAATTGCCTACAAATGGATCTTATAGATAGGTAGGGGGTTAAGGTGTTTGCCTCTTCTTCAAGGACCAATGATCTCGGGTTTTAGCCCAACTAAGGCCAGGGACCATAATATTATTTTCATATAAATGTTTATTATAAATGTAAGAAGGTACATGTTATTTTCATATAAATGTTTATTATAAATATAAGAAGGTACATGTATGAAGGGGTTATTAGACATCAGGCACCTGTGTTTCCAGAAATCTGACCTGACCCACGTTTTGAGTAAGCTTTTAATTCATTTACTTGTAGGCCACGAAAGCTCATATCAAACTTAATACAAAGAAGTTGTATCAAGCTGATGGTTATGCTGTGAAAGAACTTATCAAGGTTACGTCAGTCTTGTATAATGCCATGAAAACCAACACAGCCGATACGGCAGATATGGGCGATGAAGAAGACAGCTCTCCGGTCTCTTTTGATATTTCATCGAGGGTATGTTATTATGCCATTATCAAAGCAACTCGCCGATTGGCCGTTATTTATTTATATTTGTCTATAGTAAATTATGTATCAGATATGAAACCAGTGATTTTTCTACCTTATATAACAGTGGCCAATAAAAGGCTTCTGCCCAATTTTTTTTTTAATCATGCAGTTTTTCAAAAATTCTGAACTTACACAGCCTTTTTACTTCCCAAATTAGCAATTTAAGTAATATTTTTTTCACAAAATCAAGAGGCGAAGACTTCTTCCCAATTAAGTGAGAAAAATCACTGGGAACATATCACTAAAAATGTTTTGTAAATTAATACATGTAGTTCAGAAGCAATCTTTGTATAAGATCTATTTGATGTAAATACTCAGACCCAATAAATGACTCTTATTGACCGTAATGTTATTTTAATGTACAGATAAGTGAGCTGAAGGAAGCTCGTAGGCTGGCGTCGGAGATCACATCTAAAGGTGCTGGTCTGTATGATCTTCTAGGCAAGGAAGTAGATCTAAGGGTAAGGTTTGATTACTATTACTACATATATATTGATATGCAGTCATATTTCTTTTAATGTATGTGAAAGTTTTTGTAAAAATTGTTTAATTGTTTAACATCAGACAAAATTTGCATTAAATTAAAAAAAAATGAGATATCTTGGTGTTAGGCAATGAAAGGCTATTATTTGCAGTAAGTATTTTTCCTATATATTGAAACTTAAAATGTTTTTTTTTAATTGAAGTTGCTGAGTGCTGATCTGAGTAAAAGAAAATTTGACAAAAAAAATCAAAAATAGTGTTTTCACATGCTATTTGCAATCAGAGTTCCAAATTATACAAAAGTATGATATCTAATAAATTAAACTTGCCTGATTATAGCCCAATACATTGTTTGAATGTGTTGAAGTACATGCTGTAAAAGAATGTAATTTGTTATTTTGTTGTCTATGTTTCAGGAACAAAGAACAATTGTGATTGCTAAGCAACTTGAGATCAATGAGGTGGAACACAGTCTTGCAGCTTCTATCAAGGCAGTAGAGGTAAAACTTGCATTCATTTCTTTTACAAAATTTCATGTGATATGTCTGTTAAATACAATTCTGCATTTATGTTACCTGTTTGTGTTGGAGTCTTCAATTTTGTCAGCTTTGAAAATAATGTTAGCAGGTTCTACCCATGCAACCATTGCAGACCAAGACCAGCTGGAAAATTTGTGCCTATAAACTTGTGAATTCATACGCTATTGTAAGAAAATAGTTACAGATAAAATAATATTAATTTCTATGAAAAATTAATCTGTTGTGGTAAATTATTTAAAATATGGAAGAATAAAAAATGAAAATTATCTTGATTTGAGCCGTGTCACGACAAAACCAACATAGTGCGTTTGCGACCAGCATGGATCCAGACCAGCCTGCGCATCCGCGCAGTCTGATCAGGATCCATGCAGTTCGCTATCAGTTTCTCTACTTGTTATAGGTTTGGTAAGCGAACAGCATGGATCCTGATCAGACTGCGCGGATGCGCAGGCTGGTCTTGATCCATGCTGGTCGCAAACCCATTATGTTGGTTTTGTCGTGACGCGGCCTATTTGTTTGTGGTTCAGATAGCGATATCTCAGCAAGCCTCGTTACTACCTGTTGGGCAGGTAGCCTTGGCACGGGTGTTCATATCCAACTACATCTCATGACAGTAAATATGAATACTGATGTCAAAGTCTAGCTCACAAATAAAGGGTTTATTATTTCAGAATGAGATAAGGAAGACATTAAACATGTTGGACAATGTAGCATCTGATGAAGCTAATCTTGAAGCTAAGATAGAGAAGAAGAGAAATGAATTAGAGAGAAACCAGAAAAGATTACAGACCCTACAGAGTGTCCGGTAAAAATATTAGATAACCCTTAATATATTGTTATGCATTTGTTAAAACTTCTATTTGAGATGGATGATTTTCAAACTTTTCAATACTTTGTGATTATCAAATATCGTTACCTTAGTGCATTAATGGGTTATTCCTTTTAAATTCAATAGGAGTTAACCAGTTAACTCAGGTAATATATAGTGTAGTTCTTCTGTATATATTCTGGATATATGATTTATTAGTAATAAATATACTAGCTATTGTTAGTAATGGTAGGAAATAGTGCAAAGAGTTAGTGTAAAACTTAAATTTAAAGAACTCGTATATGACTTCAAATTCCCCTTTTTGTCTTAAAATGACGCAAAATTCCCCTTCCTGAGGGTATGGGTACCTGTCCCCAAAAAGTTGTCTAGTGCCCAGGATTATTAAAGGATAAGTTTTAACTGGTTTTGTAAGGTTGTCAAAAGTTAAATTTGATGAACAAATATATTGTCACCTTAGTGCAGTAACCATTTACTATTTTAAATTCTAATAGAAGTTAACCAATTGCAGCATTAAGTTGACAATATATTAATGTGTTAGCATGTTTATATTTAGATATGTAGTTTTAGCTACACAAGGAAAATACATGTTTATAATTAATTAATTACACAATTTTCAGACCAGCATATATGGATGAATATGAGAAGTTGGAGGAAGATTTACAGAAACTTTACGATGCATATCTTATACGATTCCGCAATCTCACGTACCTAGAATCTCAGTTAGAAGATTATAATAGGTTAGAGCAAGATAAATTTGAGGTAAATTGTTTTTTCTTCTTATTTTGAAATGTACTTTTGGAAACCTTTCGTTAATGTTGTTTTTGAAAAAAAAAATCATCTTCGTATTTTGAAAAATCACTTTGAAAACTTTTTGTTCTGTGGGTTTTTTGGGGCAAAAGAAAGTTTAATGTAAATCACTTAATGAACATATTGCCAAGAGATAGGTGGCCAAGTGGTTATGGTGTGTCATCTGTCTCTCAACCCAGTGGTCTTGTGTTAGAGCCTTTCTAGGGTCACAACCATGTTTCCTCATGTGACAAAAGTACTGGTTAGTTCCAAGAAGCCTACTTGGGAGTTGTTCAGATAGTTACTAAGCTTTCAACACAAACTGAAATAAAAATGCTTAAAGTAACACAATTGCTAGGAAATTGTTTGGGGAAAAAAGGGAGTCATTATATTCTTGAAGTGATAGGACTGGAGTAAGTTAATTAAATATTGTTTCTTGTGTTGCTAGGAAACGGAAGAAGCTTTGAAAAAGATGGCAAACAGATTAAAGAGTGATGATAAAGAAACGTTTTTCCTGGATCACAAAAGAGCAGGTATGGCCACATTGTATATTTTATAATGTAATTTTTACAATTTTCACTTTGAAATAGGAAATGTTTGACTTAAATGCTATTTTGTTTTAAAGGCTTTTCAAGTCTAAGAAATGAATAAGATTTTTTCTCTACAGACTAGACAAACCTGTGTTTTATAATATGTAACTGATGGATTTAGGAGCATGTTAGATGCTTATTAAGTGAAGAAGGTAGCACTGAATGTATGATAATTTTGTTATAAATGAATCAGAGCAGGAACAAAGTGTAATTTTGCCTTTCATCCAAATCACTAACCTGTAATAACTTTAATAATGGCCAATTAGCAAAAGATAGTTCAGCCATGTGGCTAATGAGAACAGTTTTAGAAACTAAACAGTATTACAGGACACCAAAAATAATTTAAAAAAAAACTAAGAAAAAAAACTTCAGAGGGGTTTATAATCATTAGAATTGATTTTATAGGTTCTGATGATGATGATGATGATGAGAGTTCAGGTAGTGAAGATGACGACGATGATGATGATCTGGAAGGTGGCGGTCGCCCAATAGCAAGACGAAACAGGCCCGATGGTAAAAAATCAAATTCTAAAAATAACAAATTCTCACTAATCACTGACTAGATGGTGTACTGTTTTTCATCCGAGTGTTGTAACATTCATTTAAAGTAGATTCTGCAAATTATTTTAATTTTTGATGTTTATAAGTAAATACAGATGCTAAAAATACTAACACATTAAAGATATTTATACATTCATATTGACCAGTACTTGTCATAAGATGTTAAGATTATAATGAAGATAATTCTTTTTTTTCTTTCCTAGTTCCTTAGCATTTTAGCATAATGTTAGTATATCAGAATTGGGCCAAATAAACTGTTTACCTCAGAATTTATAATGATATGTTAGAGACCTACTATAATTGCTCACAAAGGTGTTTTCTTTTACTAATTCTAGTAGATTTGAAAGATTCTAGTAAGTTGATAAAAGCAGTAAGTCTGAATCTGCCTCCCCCCTCAAAAAAATTAAATAATAAAATACTATTGGCAAATTTTAACAATTTTTTTCGTACAATAAATTTTCACTTAGAATCTGGCTTTCTTTTTTTTATAAGGAAATTTGTAAAAACAAGCGTCAGGCCGCAGAATATAAATGACCATTCATGTTTCTTTATAATATAAAGATTAAAGTAATTCCTTGATGTAATCAAGAAATTTTACTGACCACATCTGTAAATAAAATAGGCTTATTATAAGATTATCTCTGTACATGCTTTGTATGAACAGAATATCTACTGTAAAAAAAAAAAAATAAATAAAAAAAAAAAAGGGGAAAAGAAAAATGAAAAAATTTAAAACACAGATAATGTGTTGATCATATGATATGATTTGTTGCTTTTAGCTGATTTACAAATGCAGACAGGTAAAATATTGCACAGAATGTTAAAAATGAAAAACACAATATTTTCAAACATATTTTTTATTTGGGATGGTGCTTTTTTTTTAATTAAATGAAAATCAATTTTGTTAGTATTCTGCTGACTACTTTGTAGCCATTTACCAAATGTTAAGTGTTTGTGAATGGTGTGTGTTTTTTATTGACTTCTGCTGTTTATGTTACATATAGAACTAGAATAGATACATTATAGATAATGCACCAGAATTATTATGAACATCCTTAGTCATTCTGCCTATTTAATCAATGAGTATTTTATGTTTGATCGATCCTGGAAATAGCACATGCTCTATTGTGGTAATACCATGACTTTGTACTATTGTACAATGTGTGATAATAAAGAGAATACAATCATGGTTGATGTCAGGATGAAGAAGATTTATCCGGTGAGCGAGAAAGTGTATCTTGGCGAGCTTTAACGAACCAAGATTCGCTTTCTCAGCCACCTGGATAAACCTTCTTCTATCCGGACATCAACCATGTATATGATTTATCATGCTTTTGTTAAGTTTAATCATGTTTTTAGATTACCAACATTTAATAACCAGCATTTCATTCTTACAAGTAGTTTTGTTTTGCTGCTTACCATGCGATGTCATCATAGGCTAACCATGTGGCGTAATGACTGGAGATAGTCAGATAGAAAAGTTTATCCGGTGGGACTTTATCCAGCTGATAATATAGACAGTAGCAGGATAAAAAGTAATAGGCAGTTTGACTAAGATTATTCTATACCTCATTCAGTCTGTGACCTGTCAGCTTAAGGCATTATACCTGGTCATTTATATCTGCCTTGTGTAACAGAAAGTTAATAAGGAGAATTAAATAAGTATATAAATAGTATTGTAACAAAATATTACTGAAAAAGTTATAAGTTGAAAAATTGAAATTCAAACAAGCACTGATATCAGGGGGCTTTTTAGACCATCAAAAGTGCTTTGAACTTTATATATTTTGTATATGATGTAGCGACCAGTTCACATGGAAACAAGGCTTATGAAATAGTACATGTTTAGACATACATGATTTTCCTCTGTTTATTTAGTCAATGTATATTGTTGCTTTATAAGGATTTAGTTGTAGTGTATGTATAGAAATGTACTGCCTATATACCTATTGTAAACAGTCAACATGTATATACATCGTCACCTTAGTGCAATAAATGGTTAACTCATATTATATTTTGAAGGACTTATCCCGTTTCTGCATTAAGGTGACGATATATTGTTAATTTTTTTCTTGAAATGTGTGCAATATTGAAATGTTATGTTTCTTCAATAATATAATATATATTATACATGTATATATATTTGATCCCATTGATTAGCTGTGGTAAATACAATGTTCATCAATGTTTAATGCTGTATGCCTCCAGATAAGCCAAAATATTTCAAGAAAATTAAACATAGGAAAAATGTACTAAAATTTTGAAAAAAAGTAAAAAAAAAGATTCAAGATTTAAGTAATGTTCATGTTATGTACGATGAATGACTTTAAATATTGTTAAATATAGGTCCACAAACTACATTAAAACTTTGAAAAAAATACATGACAAATTATTACACATTGAGAAATAATTTTTTATGTATTTATTGTAAACTCTTAAAAATTTGTCATTATTTATCTTATTCTTGTGTAAATGTCTAGCAATATTGCTTGTTTATCTTATTTTTGTGTGAATGAACCTTGTCTAGCATTATTAGTTCATGTGGAGTTACTAGAGTTGTCAGCAAAATGATGTCATGAAACATCATCATAATTTGAAAGTAAAATCATTTGTTGTTAATAAAAAAAGAAATAGATTATTATTATAAAATATGCACCCTGTCTTCACTTATAAAAAAGAACTTATACAAGTAGCATTTCTAACAAGATAAAAGGTTGAACAAAATATTTCTGAACATTTAAAAAAAAGGTAAACAACAACTACAGCAAAAATGTTTTTTTTTCGATCACAAGGACCAAAGTCGCTGGTTCATATTTGTGGTGTGAGTTACACAAGAACTGTAAAGAACAACTTCGTTATAATATTATAAAAAAAAAAAAAAAAAAAATTTAATATCAGAGGATATTTTTACCAGAACTTGAAACATTATTATATAACTTGTCTAGAAATGCAATCTTGATTATAAAAACTTTAATTTTATAATTACAGCTGCAGGAGCTGGAGGTCGTGTCAAGGGTAACATGATGGGTGATATAAGCGAGGTATATATTTCTATATAATTGTTAATTTTGAGTGTATTTTAGGTTAATATTGGACAGTCTTCAGGTCAGAGGTGAAGTTTTATATATTTAAAGGATGTAGCTAAACTTAAGAGCTCAGTCTGTGGTTAACAAGAAAAGTGTTTTCATATTGTAAATGGTTATTTTAATGATTGAAAATTGTGAATTTTTATTTAATTCGCCTCTTGAATAAAAACAGATCTATTGAAAACACAAGTGAATCATCCAGTATTAAAAGTTCTTTAGATATTGTATACATGTATTTACGCTATGTTTAGGGCATCAATGTTGCCATTGTTCGTCTATCCCCCTGTCTGTCCATAGACTTAACAAAGTATAAGAAATTGCTGGTATTGGTGTCCGATGGACATATTCGTGTCCAATGGACATATTTCTGTGTCACATATTTAAAAAAAAAATCATTTCTGTAACACTACAATATATATTTTATGATACAGGAATCGGATGATTCTGGAGATTCGGACATCGACCTTGACGAAGACGATCAAGAAGATGATGATGACGATGATGATAGTGATGATATTGAAATGCCGACCAAAAATACGAGGAGCAGACAACCAAAACCAACAGATCTAAATGATAGTGATAATGACTTTTAATGATATATTTATTTATACATAGAAACAGTGTCGTTTAAGTTGAAATCAGTAGGACGTTGTAATATAAAAGTTCAAAATATGAAGATGTTATAGCTGTTCATAGTTTACGACGAAGGTTCTTGAACACATTCATTAAAATGCTTAAAATATTTAAACACTGTAAAAATAAATGCAGTACCAAAAAAACACAAAGAAAATTAATACACACAAAGAAAAAGTCTGGTTCATATGCAAAGTCATTTAAGAATGGTTAACACCCTCTTGTATAATACATGTATATGTGGTACTTCAATAATATATCTATGACAACATCACATGTATATATAAAATGAGTGTGTACCGATGTTTAGTGTCATAGTACCTGGTATGGCAATTGTGGAAATTTTTTTTCGTCAAGAATTATGAACAAGCTGCTCTAAGATCAAACACTGTTAAAAAACTTCATAATGTGAATGCTTGTTTCATTTTATTGCAAAAAGAAAATTAATAAATGAAAATTTTTTTTTTATAAACAAATATCAAATTATGTATGTAAAGATTTTAATCAAAACTCAATATATTTTGATGATGATACAAAGGGCCTTGATAAATGAGCAATGTTAAAGTAATTTAGTCTGTTGTGAGGTAACTATATAAACATTCCGTCCATGAATTATTTATATTGTAACTTTGTTTTCATATTAGTGAATAAAATCAGTTCAGCATGACTGTTTGTTTATTATCATAGATAAGTGCCTTGTGTAAATTTTCTTATTTATTCTATTTATGAATTTGTGGGCAGTTGTTACCCTACTACTAGAATTATCAATCTTGCCAAATTTCACAGAGGTTTGCATGGATCTACAATAGTGATTCTACCACTGGACTACTTGAACAAAATGAATTTAAAGGGTATAATGCTATATCTAATGAATTATTTATTTATTTATAATTAAAACCACAAGCATAATGATAACCAAACTGCCCAAACTGTTCCTTGGGTGAAGGGCTTCCAAAATTGTTCTCCATTCAGAAATCTGGTTGCCATGGCAGAATATGAGAGCTATTGTAGTCGCCCCGGCGTTGGTTAAAGTTTTTTGTAAAGTCAAATATCTCAATTATTGCTTGAGATATTCAATTGAAACTTACAATACTTATTTATAGTAACAATGTTCATCAGATTGACAAGTTGGATAACTCTGCCTACAATATTGACTGAATTATGCCCCTTTTTAACTTAGAAATTTTGTTTAAAGTTTTTTTGTAAAGTCAAATATCTCAATTATTGAAATTTACAATACTTTTTTATAGTAACAATGTACATCAGTTTGCAAAGTTGCATAAATCTGCCTGCAATATTTGCAGAATTATTTGCCCCTTTGAAACTTAAAAATTTTGATTAAAGGTCTTCAAAGATATTTACTTGAAACTTTACACATGTACGCCGGGTCATAATTGAAGGTCACAGCTCAAGATTCATTACTCTGCCATGTATTTTGACTGAATTATGCTCCCTTTTGTACTAAAAAAATCTCCTTTTCTTGGTTAAGTTTAACATGCAAGTTTTGCATATCTCTGAAACTATTAAAGATACAAACTTGAAACTTCATATGTATATTTGTGGTCATAAATAATGATCACTGAACAGCACTCATATCTGTGTCATGTATTTAGGCTGATTTATCTCCCCCTTTTTTACTTAGTCTCTTGGTTAATGTTTACATGTAAGTTTTACATATCTCAATAACTATCAGAGATTTTGATTTGAAACTTCACATATGCATGAAGGGTCATAATTGTATGTCACTGACCAAGTTCCATAACTCTATCTTGCATTTAGGCTGATTTATCTCCCCTTTTCTACTTAGTCTCTTGGTTAATGTTTACATGCAAGTTTTACATATCTCAATAACTATTAAAGATATTTATTTAAAACTTCACATATGCATTTAGGGTCATAATTGTAGGTCACTGACCAAGATCCATAATTCTATCTTGCATTTAGGCTGATTTTTCTCCCCTTTTTCAACTTAGAAATTCATGGTAAAGTTTTGCTTGTAAGCTGTTATCTCCATAACTACTGAAGGGTTTGTGCCTTTTTTGGGACAATTTTATGCAGTCATAATAATAAAGCAGTGATTTAATTGATGAAACATCTTAATAACAAGCCTTTGTACCTTTTCGGTCAATTTTATGTATTTGTAGGTAATAAGCATTATTATACTCAATAAAACACCCTTGTGACAACTTTTTTGAATAGTCGAGCCTTACTATCCTCTGACAGTTCTTGTTGTGTGATAAAGCCATCCAGTTAGGGTGATGAAGGTTGGTGGTTTTTCTATGATGCCTCCATGACATCACAATTACAGTGGTGGTCTTATGATTTCAAAGTCTTCAAAAGAAGAAAGAAACAATATTTAAGGACAGTATTTACATGTGTGAATATTTATTCTTTAATTGCAAACAAAACAGAATTATGAAGATGTTTTTTCACTGATCACAATGTATGATGACTTTCATTGCATTACTGCTGGGTGACTTGGCTGTTTTAAAAGCTTCCACTGTTTCCAGTAGAGGAAAATGATGAGTGACCAATGACTTCACATCTATAGCACCAGTTGCCACAAAATCTAGGGCAGCTGGATAACTGAAATATGATTATATATGAGCTATATCAAAACAAATCTATGATGGAAACTGATAAAGGCCAAGAGAAATCTTTAGATAAAAGAGAAAATGTAACATAGATACAGTAAAAGAATGTTAAATAAATAATAAGATCATATTTTATAACAAATACTTTTTTGTTAGAATACAAGTTGCACCAACATTTGAAGTTCATATGGCAACTTTCTAGCAAGAGCTCAGCAGTCCCTTGATGCACTACTTCAGGTATGGGTAGCTACCTTAGTTGTAACACCAACTTGTCTGAAATCTAGCTTGTAAGCTTCATCACATAAAAGAGTTCAGGGAGTGAAACCAAAGATGGCAAATGTTTTGTGAGTGAATATAACCATTGGCCACAAAAAAAAAACGAACTTAAGAGTGACATTTCAATCTTCCGTGTAAATAATGTAAAATGAGATCAGGCTAGTAACATACCGTAATTTACATCTTTCCAAATAATTTCTGTTCCAATAATGAGAAAGAGTGTCCAATTTTAACAGAAAATCACCCATACTAATGTTTGTTCAGTATATCCTATCACCTGCAAATTCCGTTTTAACATGTACTTTGCAAACTTTTTGAAGATACATTTGTACACATTTTCAAAGTGGAAAGACCAACATTTTTATTCGAATATTGGCATTTTTGCAACACTGACCTTAAGCAAAAGCTTATTTTGAGGAAGAAAAAAAACCTTATTAATAAAAATATCATCAATTACAAATGTATAAAATGCATATCCTACAATTTTGAAACATTTCACAAGCATTGTCTATTGCTTTTTTCAATATTAACCTTTAACCAAATGAATTTATGCAATGTTCATTTGGGGATGATTAACCAGGCTTAACGGATTTCAATACAAAAATACAAAAATTGAGCAGTCAACAGTACAGAGTCTGTTCAGACTTCACGGAAGTTCAGGCTGGCAAGGCTCCGTACAAGTGGCAAAGACTTATCACTTTCAATTCCAGCAAACCAAGGATTATTAGACTCAAATTTACCAGTTGGCATATCTGAACAGTCCTTTAATATCCACTTCTTTAGTAGCTGCTATAGTGTATGGTATAGTGACATCAAAAGAGCCCCTGCCAACCATTACAATACTGCCTCCTGGATAAGTTGCCTGGAAAGAGATCATCATTATAATGGAATCAGTGGATGGTCACTAGATGTTGTATATTTTGGGACGATTCGATGATAATATGAATGTGTATTCCATAAAATAGTCACTATTAAACAGAATGATCAAGTATTTGGTGGTATAATTATGTTTTTGATTGAATGATTGTGTACTTCATGAAATGATTGTGTATTTCATGAAATGATGGTGTATTTGATGGAATGATGGTGTATTTGATGGAATGATTGTGTATTTGACAGAATGATTGTGTACTTGATGATATGAAAGTGTATTTGATGGAATGATTGTGTAATTGTTGGAATGATTGTGTATTTGTTGGAATGTTTGTGTATTTGTTGGAATGATTGTGTATTTGTTGGAATGTTTGTGTATTTGATGGAATGTTTGTGTAATTGATGGAATGTTTGTGTATTTGTTGGAATGATTGTGTATTTGTTGGAATGTTTGTGTATTTGTTGGAATGTTTGTGTATTTGATGGAATGTTTGTGTAATTGATTGAATGATTGTGTACTTCATGAAATCATTGTGTATTTAATGGAATGATTGTGTATTTGTTGGAATGTTTGTGTATTTGTTGGAATGTTTGTGTAATTGATGGAATGTTTGTGTAGTTGATGGAATGTTTGTGTAATTCATGATGGAATGATTGTGTATTTATTGATGGAATGTTTGTGTATTTGATGGAATGTTTGTGTATTTGATGGAATGTTTGTGTAATTGATGGAATGATTGTGTATTTGTTGGAATGATTGTGTATTTGATGGAATGATTGTGTATTTGTTGGAATGTTTGTGTAATTGATAAAATGATTGTGTATTTGTTGGAATGATTGTGTATTTGATGGAATGTTTGTGTAATTGATGGAATGTTTGTGTAATTGATGGAATGATTATATTTTTGATGGAATGTGTGTGTATTTGTTGGAATGTTTGTGTATTTGTTGGAATGTTTGTGTTATTGATGGAATGTTTGTGTAATTGATGGAATGTTTGTGTAATTCATGAAATGATTGTGTAATTGATGGAATGATTATATTTTTGATGGAATGATTCTGTAATTTATGAAACAATTGTGAACTTGACAGAATGATTGTGTACTTGATGACATGAAAGTGTATTTGATGGAATGATTGTGTATTTGATGGAAAGATTGTGTATTTGACAAAATGATGGATTCAAATATGCTTTTAGAAACCATACTTTTGATTAGACAGCAGCACATTATAAATACATTCAAACAAATAAATTACATCTTGTTAACAAGAGGGCCATGATGGCCCTGAGGTTGCTCACCTGTATATAGGCCCACGGAGCGAGGCCAGTTTAAACCCCAGGGCTTTTATTTGAGCAAACTCGGAAGACACCCATTAGACGATGTTTCATGAAGTTTTTACTATACACATATAATGAAAAACAATGACCTCCCCCACCCCCCTGGCAGGGCTAATTTTAACCCAAGGGCTTTTATTTGAACAAACTTGGTTCACAAATATGAGAAGATGTTTCATGCTTAATATCTAAGCTCTAGCTCGCTGGGATTTTTAAAAGAAGATTTTTTAAGTTTTTACTATACACATATACTTAAAAACAATGACACCCCTGGGGCGGGGCCAGTTTTGACCCCAGGGCTTTTATTTGATCAAACTTTGTAGACACTTAGTAGAAGATGTTTCATGCTTAATATCTAAACAGTAGTTATTTGGGTTTTTTCAAAGAAGATTTTTATGTTTTTGCTATACACATATAAGGAAAATCAATGACCCCCGGGGCGGGGCCAATTTTGACCCCAGGGCTTTTATTTGAACAAACTTTGTAGACACTCCCTAGAAGATGTTTCATGCTTAATATCTAAACTCTAGCTATTTGGTTTTTTTCAAAGAAGATTTTTTAAGTTTTTGCTATGCACATATAAGGAAAATCAATGACCCCCGGGGCGGGGCCAATATTGACCCCAGGGCTTTTATTTGAACAAACTTGGTAGACACCCATTAGAACATGTTTCATGCTAAATATCTTAGCTCTAGCTCTTTCAGTTCTTTAAAAGAAGATTTTTTAAGTTTTTACTATATGCATAAAGGGAAAATCAATGACCCCCTGGGGCGGGGCCAATTTTGACCCCAGGGCATTTATTTGAATTAACTTTGTAGACACTCATGAGAAGATGTTTCATGCCAAATATCTAAGCTCTAGCTCTTTGGGTTCTTTAAAAGAAGATTTTTTAAGTTTTTACTATATGCATATAGGGAAAATCAATGACCCTCTAGGGCGGGGCCAATTTTGACCCCAGGGCTTTTATTTGAACAAACTTGGTAGACATTCACTAGAAGATGTTATATGCCAAATATCTAAGCTCTAGCTCTTTGGGTTTTTTAAAAGAAGATATTTAAAGTTTTTTCTTTCGGTTGCCATGGCAACCAGAGTTCTGCATGGAATTAAATTCTTTGAACAATTTTTAAAGGTGACCACCAAAGGAACATTCCTGTGAAGTTTGGATGAAATTGGCTTAGTGGTTTATGAGGAGATGTCATTAAAAGTAAAAGTTTACGGACGGACGGACGCCGGACGAAAAGTGATCACAAAAGCTCACCCTGTCACTTTGTGACAGGTGAGCTAAAAAACATTACATTTCAAATATATAAAATCCATAACCATCTTTCCTAAGGCTGCACATATTTCAATTAAGGATAAATAAAGTAAAAATTATGCTGCAGAAATTACATGTACATAAAACAGTATTTTACTTACATATATGGCTGTTCTAAAACTAAAATCTACAGCACTACATTCTATACTGACATCAGGTTGACATCCCATAGTAGCTTCAATTTGATTGGCTAATTCTTTAGGGTCATCTGTATTGACCTTGATCACATGATTAGCACCTAGTGACTTGGCAACAGACAGTCTGTTATCTGATATGTCTAAATTTTTAAAAGAAGAAATAATGTTTTTACTATATTATGAGGGCAATATTAACAAATTTCTAAATATCATGTTTGTATAGAAAATTATGATTATCATCATTAATACTGGTCACTTGTTTTAAAGCAGCTCCTCTTTCCCCTGAAAATAGCAGATACTTTTACTTAATTTTCAAACCCCTGGTAAAAGCCCGCTTTAAGACCTAGCATTGTGATTTCGACATTTTCCTGCCATTTTGTTGCCAAAACTAAACCAATGCGATGACACGGAGTGATTGACAAAAAAGGTAATTGCCCAGCTATACCTGGCCCATCCCCAGAGTTGGATGAGCCAATGTTGTAAAAAATGTTTTGTGCATTAAAATAAAACCAAGAACACACCAATCTTGCATTTGCTTATCTAGAAATATTATGGCTGATGGGACAGGGTAAAACATTAAATAGAGTCAATCACATTCATTCAAAATCAGTGTTTTAATTTGTTTATACTACTTTGTCATTTTAACTTTGTTAAATATGATGACTGATCTGTACCAAGACGTATATTTGCTCAGCTGGGCACTAGACAATTGTAATTTCGCCTTTCGCTCTGCAGGGTGCCAGGTGAAAAGCTGCAAATGTGACCATTTTGTCTTTCTTTCACTACCCGGGATGCCAGGCAAAAACACATAAAAAGACATGGCATAAATCAGCCACCATAGTTAAATGATATAGATGCAACTAGCTTTAAATTGTTTTTGCACCTACCCGTAAGAAGTACAGATGCAGCTCCCATCTGTTTAGCTACCATCATTGCCAGAATACCAACTGGGCCTGTTTATGAGAGAAAATGAACACACAAGTCTTCAATGTATATATTTTTGTATTGAATGTTACTGAGAATTTTGGCTGTTTAATCCAATTTTTTCTGTACAAGTAAATCTGCCTAGGCAAGAAAACATGACTCAGCAAGGCAATATGATGATAAACTCTTATAAATTCTGCTTAAGCCAGAAGTGATTAGTCTTTGCCACCAGTATTGAGCCAGGCCAGTATGCACTTAGATGTCCAGTCTAACCCCGAGTCTCAATTCTGTCAGTTTATACAGAATTTATTTTAGTTTGTGCTGAAAGCTAAAAAGCTAACAAACACACTGAATTGGCTCTATACTGTTGATTAACCAGCTTTAATTTTCATCTTGACATTCCTAAAATTGATATGGAAAATTCCAAAAATGGAAGCTGGACAAGTCCAATTTAAGAAATTCAGAAGGTTAAGGATAAATAATTTTATGTTTCAAGAAAATAATTTTTAAATTTTGTTGAAAAGAGATGTTCAATCTATAATTTTCATCTTAATATCCCTAAACATATAAATGGAAAGTTCCAAATATAGATGCTGGACAAGTCCATTTAAGAAATTAAGCAGGTTATGGGTTAACAATTTATGTTCAAGAAATTAATTTTTAAATTTTGTTGAAAGGAGATGTTTAATTTATTGGCATTACCTGCTCCACATATGAGGACACGACTACCCGGACCAACATTTCCCCTCTTACAACTGTATAACGCTACAGCTAGAGGCTCTAACATGGCACCTTCATCTAAACTGACATGATCCGGTAGTCTGCAGAGAAAAACATAAATCATCACTTAAATAACATAGTATCCATAAAATATTGATATGAATTTAGTAAACATCTAATAAATCATGCTTGTAAAAATTTATTTGAATAATTTCTTTTTCTTTAATTTTTCAAATTTTAAAGTGAAAGTTAAAATTTTACGTAATGATTAATTATTTCATTTCATAATCAGTTCTTACTAGTTTTCAAAATGCTAGACATTACTAGTTTCTAAGTTTTTCAAAATTAATCATTTACAACTCACTGAAAAATGCACAAGAACATTGTACATGTATAATGATACAAAACATGATTTTGGAATACAAAATTTTGATCTTATCTGATCTTCAAAACACATATGAGCCGCGTCACAACAAAACCAACATAATGGGTTTGCGACCAGCATGGATCCAGGATCCATGCTGTTCGCTTAGAAACCTAATAACAAGTAGAGTAACTGATAGCAAACAGAATGGATCCTGATCAGACTGCGCGTATGCGCAGGCTGATCTGGATCCATGCTGGTTGCAAACCCATTATGTTGGTTTTGTCGTGACGCGGCTCATATTGTTAAAAACATCACAAATGTCAAATTCTTGGTTTCTTTATTTCAATATTTTTGCTTATTAATCTTTTCTTTTATCTGTGAAAAAAAAAGAGAACACATTGCATCTGCATTTTGATTAGCGATTCTTTTTCCAAATATATGTAGTAAAGGCTATAAATAAGCATAAACATAATATAGGTAAGAGTTTTTTAGTCAACATTAATGAAAAAAAAATCAGTCTGACGCAACCCTGTCACACAACAGATTTAATGCAGCACACCTGCAGGTTCATGCTAATTTTCATGAAAAGTTTGAAAATGTATTAAAAAGTAAAATATTGTTAAGTGAACAAAGAAATTAATTTACACATAGCAAACAGCACTTACAAGGTAACCCATGTATATTACCAAAAAGAGGTCAAAATATTAGCAAAGATAGCCCTTACTGCATTACTATGGTGAAAAATACATGTACGGCAAATCAGTCATAAATTGCTCATTACATGAAAATAATTACTTTTTTACTGTTCTTAAAAATCAAATGCATTTTTCTCAAATTGATTTTAAAAGTTATCTGAGTCAAGCTTTTGTGACTTAGAACTATCACTGAAGTGGCAATTATTTGAATCTTGGACTGAGTGCATTTTAAGGATAATATTAAATGAATCATGTGTTAAAAATTCAAATTATCGAATTTAAAAGGAACAATCATTACATGTAATTTCAACCACTTAGTATTGTTAAAAAGACATAAAAAAAACAACTAGTAAACCTACTTGAAGCAAAAGTCTGCTGGGTGTTTGTAGAATTTACACATGTTACCATGATCAGGGGGCGTGGCACAGAAGAACACATCTTTACAGAGGTTATAGCGGCCAGTTTTACACAGGTGACAAATACGACACGGAACACCTGGCTCTATGGCTACTCGATCACCTGAAATATCGATACATAACAGTGTTAAAGTACCATACTTATTAATCGTCACCTTAGAACAATAACTGTTTAACTCCTATTAAATTTGGAAGGACTTAACCCCTGATGATTTGCTTGATGATGTTTTGATGTATTTAAACACATTGTTAAAATGTCATATTCAACTACATTAGCAGATTATAAGCTATTCCAGCAGAAAACCTACATGTAGATAATTCATACACAAGTAGGCACTAAAGTAGAACCAATGACCTCTGACCTATGATATGGTAGCAGTATTGCTGCTCTGGATCACAAGTTCAGTTATGCTTCTATAATTTTGGAATTCACACTATATTTTTAGGGGCAAACAATATAAAGAACTTAAGTATTTACCCTTAAATTACTGGTATGTAACAGTAGAAATAGAAAGTTTTAAAAATGTGTATTTTAACCAGAATGAATGTATTATCAAGTAAATTTTAGAAGTTTTTCTTCTTTATGTACTGTACCTACCAACTTTAAGACTTTGCACACCAGGCCCAACTTTCACCACTGTCCCTGCAGCCTCGTGTCCCATCACCATTGGAGCTTCTACGGTAAATCTGCCACATTTGCCCGTCTGCCAGTACTTTATGTCAGACCCACAAATACCCACTGACCCCATAGATAGCAACACTTCTGTTTAAAACAATCCATTCTTTTATAACAACAGATAAAAAAATATTACCTCATTCAAAGAAATAAGTTATTTAAGCTTTATTTTTCTTTTGGCCAAACACATGTATAAAAATTATTTTATTGATGATACAATTTGATGATGTAAATTTGTGTTTATCTACATTTTGGCCAAACACCTGTATGAAAGTTATTATTTTCTTGAAGATATCATATACTGATGTAAATTTGTGTTTAAGCTAGAGAAAGGCTTAGTGAACTGTTAATTCATTGATATATAAATCAACAATAACATACAGTTGTTTAATGACAGGGTTGTATTATGGTACAACCTTGAACTTTAATATCTTGGTATACAAATCTAATTATGTTAAAAGGCATGTTTATGCATTTATTATACAAAACTATTTCAAAGATAATTAATCAAATCTAACTTACCATTATGGCCAGGTTCAGGTACAGATATTTTTTCAAATCTAACATCTAGTGGTCCATGTAACACAGCTGCTAAATTCTCCTCAGACATTTTGTTAGTTTAAATGTGAAGTGTCTTAAAGCAATGTTCAAGATAAGATCATGTACTGTAGAAAGTAGTTTTGTACATGGATATTAAAGAGATAAAATGTAGGTCATCTTATAAGATAATGTTTTAAATGAGATAAATTGTGTCAATCCAAGATATAATTACCAATGTCCCAAGCCTAATTAATTTGGCAAAATGGGTTTGACCCATTTTACAGACTGTAGGTTAAACAGATTGGAAATAGACATAGACTGTCCAAGAAAATTCGATGTCTATTTTATAAGTCTTTATTTTTGGGCTACAATGTCCAGGAAGGGACTCAAACACTGAACCTCTTGATCCCTTGGTCTGCAGAATGATAGCCTCTTATAACTTAACCATGATTGAAAGTACATGTAGTTAAATAAAATATGGGATATGACTGCTTATGATTATTTTATAGCCTTGTCTACAAACTATCTTGACAGCCTTCATACATATACAAGGATTTGATTAAAAACTTGTCATGATACTAAATATAGAAATTATAAATTTCTGCAAAACATCACCTTCATGTTTTAATTGTAATTAAATTGCAGAGGTGGTGAAATATATACCAAGGAACAGATTTGTACGACAGTTTTATAATATTTCAATCAATGAAGTTTTCAAAGCATAGAAACTTTAATTTCATATACAAATGCCATTAAAAGTTGATGTAATTCGTCCTTCTGTTAGAAAATACAAGCAAACTTAATATCATAATTCAGTTCATGAAGCCTTAGAAGAGTTTTTAATAAGTAACATATTTATTCAATTTGCCAATGCATTAAAGAACGTGCATATTTTCTCAGTAAGATAAATGTTGGGCCATCCTAATAAGGTCAGGAAATGAGCAAATTAATTTTTCATTTTCATGCTTCTTCTGGATTTGTGTAATGGATTTGCCCTGCTTTGAATCTGGAACAGTCCATTTTATGCTCTAGGGATTTCAGAGTAAAAACACAAAACCTTGAATTTGTTTGTTTCATTTTACGCCTTTTCCCAACAGTATTTCAGTCATATAGGCGGGTAGTTTCCTAACCAATGTTCCTGGAGAGGTACACCAGTACTAGACTTCCTTCCTCCGCGCTAAACTACCAAAGCATCTCCCGGGGATCGAACCCCCGCCAGAGAGGTAACTGGATTAGAAGTCATTGACTCTAACCCCTCGTCCACGGAGGCGGTAAACCTTGAATTACCAACAGTACAAAGGGGGTCTTCATATAAGCTTGCTCTACACAGTTTGATTACAATATCTCATTATTGTCCAGACACAATAGTTTTTATTTTTTGCAACAGTGACCTTGACCCAAGGGGGTCTAAATGCAATACCAACTGGGGTCTTCATATAAGCTTGCTTTACAAAAGTTCGATTACAATATCTCATTCATAAATCTAGTTATTGTCTGAAAACCATTTTCTATTTTTAGAAATAGTGACCTAGACCTTGACCCAAGGGGATCCAAATGCAATACCAACTGGGGTCTTTATATAAGCTTGCTATACCCCATTTTGGTTACAATATCTCAATCCTAACTCTATTTATTATCCGAAAACCTTTTTTCTATTTCTAGTAACAGTGACCATGACCATTACCCAAGGGGGTCCAAATGCAATATTAACTGGGGTCTTCATATAGGCTTGCTATACACCAAGTTTGATTACAATATCTCATTCCAGTTGTTGTCAAGAAACTATTTTTCTATTTTTAGTAACAGTGACCTTGACCCCAGGGGGTCCAAATGCAATACCAACTGGGGTTTCCACATAAAGACTAAGGTTGCTATATTCTAAGTTTGATAACGATACCTCATTCCAAACTCTAGTTATCGTCCAGAAACCATGATATGGACCGACCAACAAGCTGACTCCTATACTATATACCCCCTAAACTTTGTTTGTGGGGGTATAATAAGACTTCTAAATATTAACTTGATGGGAAAACTAATCAACCAAACTGCTATGCATATCCCTTCAGGTTCAAACAAGAAATGTCCAAAACATGCAATATCTGAAATTGTGCAACTTAAGCACATGGAAATTTGTTGCACTTAATATAAAAAGAAATCATTGATATGAACTGAAGGGACACTTGAAGACAATACGACTTGCCCTGTACGTCTTAGAAATCAAACTTCATTTGTTAATTATTCATGTTTTTTTTGTAAGTTGTGGATAGATGGAAAATAGATTTTTACAAACTTTTATGTACAAGAGCAAAGGTCAGTCAGCAACCTTCTATGCCTCAAGTAACAAAATATTTTTTGTTAAAAAATAATCAACAATAAAGAAGTTTTCATGACAAATTTTATTTGCAGATGAAAAATTTATACAATACATAATTCATACACAAGACAATTATTAAAATTAAATTACAAAATTGCTGAATAATTCAAAATGATGCTCTCAATGACAAATGAAATGACTATGCTCCAAATGAAAATACAAAGCATGAGGGTGTATCCCAAATATATCTCAAATTATAATAAAGATTACCTTGGAAAAGCATGTATCAATTATAACATATCATGTACTAATAACATAATAAATCATACCAAGAAAAATCTTACAAACTTAATATGGCTTCTTCTATACAATCTTCTATATTCACATTTCATCACAATTTCAAAGAATTATGCTCCAAATGAAAATACAAAATGGCATATCCTAAATTATACAAAAGATTACCTTGGAAAAGCATGTTTGAATTATAACATATCGCTGCCTAATAACATGTTAAATCATTCCAAGTCTGTAAAATCTTCTATACAATCTTTTATATTCACATTTCATCATGATTACAAAGAATCATTCTTGCAAGTTTTATACATATACACTATTAAGAGCATGCTCGTTCACGCGCTTTTTGTCTAAGTCCATCAACTATTGAGCTGCCAAAAGTTTTTGTAAAACAGTCTGATTCAATTCACTCAAGTGAACAACTTGTAAACTTGACAATGAAAGTCATTATATTTATCACTGGTCTCATCTAGAAGAGCTGGAGCTGGATCGACTGTAGCGACGACGTCTGACGGGAGATCGACTACGTGACCGTCTTCTCTGTGGTGATCTTCGTCTTGGAGGTGACCTGAAATTTAATTAAGTACATGTATATCAAATGAATGATAACAGTTAATTTATAAGTCTAAAATTTTGTAAAAGTCGGCCTTTATATGTGCTTTGTAAAATTACTAAAAGAATTCGAAAGTTGAAATTCACAACTTTATTCATGAAATCCTAAAATTACATCATTGAAATTTTCAATATTTATACAGATATACATATAACAAATTGGTAAAACAGAAACTGCCCATACCTTCTGTCTCTGTACCTAGGAGGGGAAGGTCGCCACCGCCCTGGAGGTCCGCCTCTCCTGTTTGGTAAAGGACTCCGTCTGGCTGGACGGGGAGCTGGCCGAGGTGGTAACACTGTCTGTGCAGTTACTTCTTGACCGTCTATTTGACCTGTTTATATAAAATGTACTAGAGGCATATAAAATTTGTTGATTCAAGAAGTGAGTGAAAAAAATCTACAAATATTTTAATTTAATATCTGTCTTTTACATTCTTGATAAACAAAGAAATAAATAATATATTGATAAAACAGATGCTGTTGTTTTTATGATATCAGACAAATGCAATTTCAATATTTTCTTTATTTTGCCATCCGAGACCACTTAAAAGTTTGCATTTATGACAGTACTGAAGTATTAATGGGGAACTTACAGTTTACTATAGAATTAAATTTTATAAAGCTATATACCTGCTGCATAAAGTATAATTCTGATTTTGAAAAAGATTACTTCCAAATTGCTTGTTCAAAAAAAAATAAGGTGGTATATTTTTAAAACTTTAAAAAGCCTTTGAGGCATATAATAAATCAGTGCTCAATGGTTAAAACCGTACTTAAAATAGATGCATAATACTTTGTTCCAGAACATTTTATACTGTTTGCAAACAATATTCATATGTGTTCAATGGCAGAGTCATATTATGTTACAACTCTTAAAGAATCAGCAATAAGATTATGGAACAATATAATTTTACAATTGATATATTTTATAAACATTTTTCGTAAGATTTAGCTTTATAATCTTTAATGTACTCTTAGTTACCTCCATCCATATGTTTCACAGCTTTTTCTGCTTCTTCTGGGGATGCAAAGTCTACATAAGCAAATCCCTTGGAGAAATTGGGGTGTGACCTATCAGGGGGCATCTCTAGATGCTTAATTGTTCCATAGACAGAAAATATCTCTTGTACATGGTCCCTTGTTACGTTCCTCGTCAATTTTCCTACATGTACCTTTGTTGGACGAGGGGTTGGGCTCCTCTTCTTTCTTTTAGGGGACCTGCAGATAACAAAAGATGAAATGACAAAGGTGATAAAAACCAATTGTCATGTGAACTAATATGAATGATTATTAGCCAAACCAGAGCTGCCAACAGTACATGTTGAAATAAAGTTAAAATTCGTCCAAGAGTAGCCACAAGAATATACCACAGAAAGCTCTGAAAGTTTCTGAGTCTTAATATGCTCCTTAACATCATTTCCTTAACATTATATGTCAATTTTCCATTACAATTAAGAGAACTTCCAGCGAGTAAGGTTTGCAAATATTCTTTAATAGCGGTCATTATAATATTGAGATACAGATAAAACCTAAAGCATACTGACTTTTTAAGGTGTATACTTGCACAAATTTTTGGGCCGCAGATTGAGATTGAATCGCAGAGAGGAACTACACCATCCATTTTAATTTCTCATCAGATCATTTATATTGATGTCGAAGATAATAAAACTGCATGAATCAGTAGAAAATTGACAGCCCTGTTTAACATACCATCTAATTATGACAATTAATAGTTATGATCCAAAATTTTAAAATCAAAATGTGGTTACAGAAGAATACAATATGTCTTTATAAACAGCAGTTAATATTCTATATATGTTGATAACATCATAATTCTTAAATAGAAATTCTTATTAATTAATTAAACTGATAAAATACAGAAAATTATAAAATCTTTGCGGCAGCATGCCTCCAGAGTCATGCTAATTTTCATGAAAATTTTGAATATATTTAAAAGTAAAATACTGTGAAATGAACAAAGAAAGTTATTTACACATTGAAAACAGCACTTACAATCCGCGTAAAGTACCAAAAAGAGGTCAAAATATACATAAATATCTCTTACTGCATTAGTAATGCAGTATAATTATAGTAATTGATACTGCAAAATCAGTCATTAATTGCTTATAACATGTAAATAATTAATTGAATATTGAATCTTTTTACTTTTCTTAAGATCTTAATGTTTTTCTAAAGATTGAATTTCATGAAATATTTTGGCTCATCTGGAGGCGTGCAGCTTTAAAGTAATCATTCATTGTAAATCATAATTCTGATTAAGGAAATAACACATACTCTCCTGACTTTTTCCTTGCCCTATTTCTTTCCCTACTTCTGCTACGTCCACTGGTAGATGATCCACTAGAACTTGAACTAGAAGATCTAGAGGAGCTAGAGCTTCCAGAAGAACTACTGCCAGATGACGAGGACCTTGATCTGCTTCGTGATGATGAGCTATTTAATATAAAATATACTCAAATTAAGCAAGTTATAGTACAAGAGCTGTCCGAGGAGTAATGTTCCACTTTTTCTCAGTTCTGGATAAAAGACTGCACATTTTCTGAATAAAAAGATATGTTCCCAGTTGAACTTAAAGTGACCTTGACCTATTGATATAAAAGGAGGCGTGGCAGCCTCGCAGGCAAAACTCATCATGATGAATCAACATAATATAATCAAGTTTCAATTTCACTATTGAAATTATTAACCAAAAACACAAAAACTTAGCTTTAAGGACGCATCCAGGTGCAAATTCTTGCAAAGATAACAGGCCCAAGTGTCCTTGACTTGAAAATGGGAGTGACAGATAGACCTCCCTAAGCCAAGCTCATCCCACATTAAGTTTCAATGTAATAGCTAACAATGCTAAGTGAGTATTAATGACAAAAGTTTGCTTGTGGATAAAATAATTGGACTCATTAAATTTGGGGCTTGTAAAATACTAACATGTATGCAACATTTGTAACAACTTAATGATGAATTTAACTCCCAAATGGCTATAAAATCTTAAATGTAATTTATACAATGCGAAATATAAAGTCAGAATATCAATTCCATCTAATTTCTAAATTCATAAAATAACATACTGTACATGTATGCCTGCTAAAAGACATGAAAATAGAGTATTCATAAAGATAGTATGCAAAATAGGGTTTCTTAATCGGACAAAAATCATAATCGATCATCGAAAATAATCGAACAACCTTTTTCGATCAATCTTCGATTATATAATCGAAACATTTATGATAACAAAGTAAATATGTACAATGCACATATCATGCTTTAATATTTATAAGAATTCCATTAATATTCTATATTTTGTGTAACTTACCACTTAATCAACTGAAATAAACTAGTTACTCATGCTTAAGTTCATCCTTGAGTAAAATATTTTAATCAAATAAATTCATTATATCTATGAAATTATTATGTCTCAATTCCAACAAGAGCCACCGCCGGGCGGGGGCAACGCTCGACTTTTTACTTTTTCTAAACACAAACATAGAAAGGTTTGAACATATATTGATGTTTCCTTTTTATAAATTTAGTTGGTCTGTCTTGTCACATTAGTTTTGTTTATATATTTTGTATATATATGAATAGAAACATTAAGCATATTTCTAAAAATAGCAACAGTACGCTATTTCTAAAAATAGCAACAATGACACAATTTCTAAAAATAGCAACAATGACGCAATTTCTAAAAATAGAAAAAATGACGCAATTTCTAAAAATAGAAAAAATGACGCAATTTCTAAAAATAGAAAAAAATGACGCAATTTCTAAAAATAGAAACAATGACGCAATTTCTAAAAATAGAAAATAAAATGACACAATTTCTAAAAATAGAAACAATGACGCAATTTCTAAAAATAGAAAAAAATTACGCAATTACTAAAAATAGCAACAATGACGCAATTTCTAAAAATAGAAAAAATGACGCAATTTCTAAAAATAGAAAAAAATGACGCAATTTCTAAAAATAGCAACAATGACGCAATTTCTAAAAATAGAAAAAATGACGCAATTTCTAAAAATAGAAAAACATGACGCAATTTCTAAAAATAGAAAAAATGTCGCAATTTCTAAAAATAGAAACAATGACGCAATTTCTAAAAATAGAACAAAAATGACGCAATTTATAAAAATAGAAAAAAAATGACGCAATTTCTAAAAATAGCAACAATGACGCAATTTCTAAAAATAGAAAAAATGACGCAATTTCTAAAAATAGCAACAATGACGCAATTTCTAAAAATAGAAAAAATGTCGCAATTTCTAACAGTAGAAACAATGACGCAATTTCTAAAAATAGAACAAAAATGACGCAATTTATAAAAATAGAAAAAAAATGACGCAATTTCTAAAAATAGCAACAATGACGCAATTTCTAAAAATAGCAACAATGACGCAATTTCTAAAAATAGAAAAAATGACGCAATTTCTAAAAATAGAAAAAAATGTTGCAATTTCTAAAAAAAGGAAAAAATGACACAATTTCTAAAAATAGAACAAAAATGACGCAACTTCTAAAAATAGAAAAAAATGACACAATTTCTAAAAATAGCAACAATGACGCAATTTCTAAAAATAGCAACAATGACGCAATTTCTAAAAATAGAAAAAATGACGCAATTTCTAAAAATAGAAAAAAATGTTGCAATTTCTAAAAAAAGGAAAAAATGACACAATTTCTAAAAATAGAACAAAAATGACGCAACTTCTAAAAATAGAAAAAAATGACGCAATTTCTAAAAATAGCAACAATGACGCAATTTCTAAAAATAGAAAAAAATGACGCAATTTCTAAAAATAGAAAAACATGATGCAATTTCTGAAAATAGAAAAAAAGACGCAATTTCAAAAAATAGAAACAATGACGCAATTTCTAAAAATAGAACAAAAATGACGCAATTTCTAAAAATAGAAAAAAATCACGCAATTTCTAAAAATAGCAACAATGACGCAATTTCTAAAAATAGAAAAAAATGACGCAAATTCTAAAAATAGCAACAATGACGCAATTTCTAAAAATAGAAAAAATGACGCAATTTCTAAAAATAGAAAAACCTGATGCAATTATATACATGTATATATATGTATATATATATATATATATATTTGATATATATATATATATTTGATATATATATATCTATATATGTATATATATATATATATATATATATATATATATATACATGCATATATATATATATATTTATATATATATATACCTGCATATATGTATATATATATACACACACACATTTATATATATATATATATATATATATATATATATATAATACATATACTATACATACACACACACCAATAAATGCACAATCTGAGAAAATTCAGTAATATAACCTTCAAGGTCAAGGTCATTAAAGAGCCCAAGCAAATTTGGGTTTGATAAACAACAAGGTCTGGTCCTTAAGAATGTTCTGTTATAATATGAAGTTTATCCCTTCAAAAATAGCAAAGTTACAGTCAGTTACTGCCAAAACAATGAAAATTTCAATAATTTGACCTTCAAAGGCAATGTCATTAATGAGTGAAGGTCAAGGTCTTTCGGTATATTTTTTAACAGTTATCTTTGAAGATTATTATGTTCAAGTTTGAAGACAATCCATTCAAAAATAACAAAGTTACAGCCAATAATAGCCAAAAAAATGAAAATTTCAATAATTTGACCTTCAAAGTCAAGGTCATTGATGAGTGAATGTCAAGGTCTGACTGGTTATTTTTAAGGGATATCCTTGAAGATTATTATGTTCAAGTTTGAAGACAATCCATTCAAAAATAACAAAGTAACAGCCAATAACAGCATGAACAAGCAAAAATTGGACTTTTAACCTTGAAGGTCAAGGTCATTTATGGATGAAGGTCAAGGTTAGTGTGGTCTACTGAAAGGTCTTGTCCCAAGGGTTGTTGTGGCCAAGTATGAAGACAATACACCAAGAAATAAAAAAGTTATGATCCAGGTACAAGTTTTCGGACGGCAACGGCAACGGCAACGGCAACGGAGACGGCAACGCCGACCTGACTATAACAATACCTCTACTTTTTTTTTTCAAAAAAAAAAAAGTCGAGCTAATAAAGAAATGAATAAGCTATGTATGGGAACAAGAGAAGTTGGTCATTAATAAAAATGCCAGGTTTTTTAAAGTCACTATATATTTATATTGTAACCACCTTTAGTTTAGTGTGTAGAATAATTTTATACATATCTATTCTTCTTTGTTTGAAGTCAAAACATGTTTATTTCATATTTACAAATAGACTGTGTAGCAATTTTCTAATTTCAAATTTGAGCATAATATGTCTGTAAACTAGAATGCCTCACTGTCAACTATTAACCTCATGGTCACCAGTATGCTTTCTCATTCATTTTAATGAAAATTATTGGGTCAACCAAAGCTGGCTTTAGTTTAAAGTGTTGTTATAAAACAACACTTCAGTAACAGCAAGAAGATAAATAACCGATGATCGATTATTGAACTTTGTATTCGATCATCGCTAATCGGTCCTATAAACGATCAATTTTCGATTATACTCGATCATCGTTAAATCCCTAATGCAAAACAATTTTTTCCCTAGTAAGTACAAGAAATATATTGATTAAATATACTGCATGATTATGTGATACAATGGCCAGCTCCAAATTAGTGCTCAGGACAATTTCTGAGTCAACATTGTTATGTGCATCACACTTCTTAAACATTTTGTCAAGTAACTTCTTGGAAATACACAGTGACCAGTGCTTCAAATTTAGGAGGGTAAAATTGATAAAATACACAAGTTGAATTATACCTGCTACTATCCGAGCTTGACGACGCAGTCCGCTTCTTTTTCTCTGTCTTCTCAGTTTCTCTTCCACGATCAGGCATCTTGATTTATCTTCAAAATAAAGAACAAAACAATGATCTATTTATAGATTTATATATATTTATTTTATTTATTAAAAAAGTAAATGTATATACAGTGTTCAATCTAGAGCATGCCCCATTGGCCCCCTGAAAACAGTGTTTATTCTAGGACGCACGTTTGCGCGATTCACGTTAGTATTTCACAGATCGCGCACAATTCAAAATCACAATTCAAATCTATAAAAAAAGTTAATAAAATTGTAAAACTTCTATCCCGCATTATATTTGGTTGTTTTGTTTACATTTACACCGGAAACCGAAGGGAGGTAACTGTAAGCTAATTATAATAATTTAGTACCGTATTACGGTATGGTACTGGTTACAGGAATTGACGGAAATTAACGGAATGTTCCATACAACCGGAACTAATGTGCTGGGTCTGACAGTTGGGCGCCATTTTAGTGTAGTAAATAATCAAGAAAAATTAGGCAATTCCTAGCTTGGCTAAGATGTAGACGTGAAAGGTATCTCGATTGTTTGTAGTATCAATCCCTTTATAATCAATCGTGACAGTTCTATAATAATTTGTTTTCGTTTAAAAATCAAGGGGGGACAACTTTTGCTGCCTTAAATAAATATTTTCGTTTTAATTATTTCATCGGTTGAATGCCTCGGTGTAATGCAGACAATTTAGCGTTGGCAGTTTAAATTGGCACCCCTTGATTTTGAAAATCCCCCATTTTTTTAAATAAAGGGTGGAAAATCACCCCTTTTTTGAATTCCTAGAATAGAGACTGGAAAAGACTGCCAGCGCAAAACAAATTCAACTGTGGGCCCCGACGGGCGCACTCGGAATATAATAGGTTTCTTGTGAATAATATTAATAAATACTGAATTAAAACTGAAGGTTCAAGAGAAAAACAAAAGCATGTGGCAATCGGTAAGCTTTTAAAACCTCCATCGCAATGCTCTCTTGGTCTTCAAATTGCCACCGGGTCTGTAAATATTATGCAGACCTATTCCTCATAAGGTAACTATTACTTAACTATTACTTAAATAAAGTGTTACAGTTTATATAAATTTATGCAAAAAATATTGTCAACAAGTGTTAGTTTTTAATCAGAAATGGTGTTTGAAAGCAAGGCTCCGTAACTGTTCCTTGAGCTTCGGGCCACTTTGTGGAAATTCCGTTTCTATTTTTAGAAACTAGTTTGTCATTGCATGAGTTATCGTTCTTTAAATTACACCCCTAATTTTTGGGGTGAATACCAGACTTCCCGAAAGTTAGAAAAAAGTGTCGGACATTCGGTCTGACAAACCATGAAAATCTGTCAGACCGGAACGAAATCTGTCAGACCGAATAAAATTAATCAAAGTCAATGGGAAACTTTTCGGTTTTAATTTTTTCGTCGTAAAATCGACACAGTCTGTACAGCGCAATTTTCATCTCCTCCCTGTCATACACTAAAAATTCACGGTCCTGCTTCCATTTTTCATTAAATTTTGTCTCAGGTCTATTCTTTTCATCCTTTTACTGCTGTTCTGGGCACTCCTCTGACGTAGATTTACGTTTTTTCCCAGGTTTGGCATCTTTAGCGACGCCATTTAGCATACATGCGACTGGGATAAAAGCCGGACAGTCGGACCGATCCGGTAAAAAAAAAATCGTCGGACCTAATCAAAATTTATCGGACATCTCCGTCGGACCTACGTATTTCGGGAAGTGTGGAATACTAGGTGGCGTTTCAATCGAAAAATTGTATTTCCCCAGGCTGTCGATTTGCCGAACAGAGGCACATAAACAAGAGCTGTCCGTAAGACAGCGCGCTCGACTTTTTTATTGCTTGCCAATAAAAAAAGTTTTTGCAGTAAAAGGCAATACAAGAATCTCTGTATTTTTAAAGTGAACAATGGCCATGAGCATTAAGATATTTAGTGAAGAATTATTTTACTGAATTGTGTGATACCCTTGAACACTGCAGCAAAGTTTGAAATGTTTAAGTCAAAAGAGGGCTGGTAAGAAAGAAAAAAAAAACTGAGTTGAGCCTTAAATAAATTTAATAGTATTAAACCCACTTTGAGAGAATAAGGTATTTTTACGTCACTCAGAACACCTTGGTAAATGACATAATAACATAATTTTTCAAGAAATCTATGCCATAAGTTGACAGTTAAGGGCCATAATTCAAATAAAATCTTTGACAGAATTACCTTCTCCTGGACATGTTTGGGAATCATGATTGTAAACAAGTATTCCAACTTTCAAATTAATATCTCAAACAGTTCAGTCAAAAAGTGGACTGGTACTAAAAACTTAACCAAGATTGTAAGTCGATAAAAGGCCTTAATTTTTAAAACAAATCCTTGACAGAGTTACCTTCTCTTGCGTACAGATGGGGGTAATGATGTGAAATAGCATTAAAAGTTTTCAAAGCAATATCTCAAAGGGTTAAGGCAATAAGTGGATTTTACCCATATTCAATGTATTTTCTAAGTCAAAAAGGGGCATAATTCTGTCAAAAACCTTGACAGAGTTATGTCCTCTTGTCTGTTGATGAAGGTCGTGATGGTAAACAAGTATGGTCAGTTTCAAAGCAATACCTCCAATGGTTTTGAAATAAAGTGAGGTGGTACAAAAAACTTAACCAAGCTCAATACACTTTCTAAGTCAAAAAAGGGCCATAATTCTGTCAAAAACCTTGACAGAGTTATGTACTCTTGTCTGTAGATGGAGGTTATGATGGTGAACAAGTATGGTAAGTTTCAAAGCCATACTTGTAATACTTCTGAAATAAAGTGGGGTGGTACGAAAAACTTAACCAAGGTGTGACGCCAACGCCGACGCCGGGGCGAGTAGGATAGCTCCCCTTTTCATAGAAAAGTCGAGCTAAAAATCGACAGACTGGAACCCAGGCTAGGATCTCAACCTTAAGATGAGGGATTTAAGGTTGCCTAACATAAAGATCAAATAAACATGATTTCAGACACTTTATTACTTGCATTTTGATATGCCTTTATTTTATTCTCATCGACTGGACATTAATGTTGGCAAACAAATTTTTAGCCGTCTTTTGTTACTAGTCCGAAGACTACTCCACTTGGAATGAAAACAATTGCATTGTTTTCGTTATGAACCAATTATCTTAGGCCTGGAATTTCATTTACCTAGATTCAGTCCACAGTACAAATCTGCCGTATTCAACTTTTCGATTGATAAATAACTTAGAAAAAGGAAACTTTTTACTTTCGGTGTCGGAATTAAACCGGCATAACCTGAAAATTGTAACATAAATCAATTTACATCGCAAACCATCACTTACTCAAAGTTAAAACATTGTAAGATGGGAATCAAAATAATTGAAGCGTTCTAGATAACTCAGATTACAGTGGATTCTCAGATACCGTCGTAGGTATTTCGTTTGTTGACAAACAAACGTAAGCGGAAACGGAAATAAAGTAACTTAAATTACGAACGTCAAACCAATACACGAAATGGTAAAAAGATATTTTTCGAGATTTGAAATCTCGTTTCGTGAAAAAGGTAAAACCGGATATTCAGTTTTGATGTCCAATCAAATCAATTTCCAAAGAAAATGACAGAGGTTTGCACGGGAAACACGAGAAACATGAGCAGTCTTAACTCCGTGGCCATTCAGTTTTTTGAGATGGTTCCAGTAAGAAGAATTCAATGGCCGGTAACTGTCGCAGTTTCACATTTTCATTTGAAATTATTTACAATAGATACACGTGCAATTGACTCACCTGTGTTTGAGCACGTGCTGACACACCTGTGTTTGAGCACGTGTATAGATTTTTGTTATTTCGTATGTTACTAACATTGTTGATTTTAATTTGCACCTGCTATTCATAAATTTTGCTTGATTATTCATAACAAATGTTGATCATTCAGGTATATTTGATGAGGTTAGATTGATGTAGCGTTCAAAAAATATTAGTTGAGATACCAGCTCATTACTTTTAGTATGGACAGCGGGTCACCTCAAGAAGCAAGTTTCTGAGTTGGAGTCCTGTTATTTTGGCTTTTTAAAAGAGACCCTGCTTGAGCCAACCCTGTCACACTGTCTGGCTTAAGTCCATGAACTGATGACCAAGAGCCGTAAACTTATCACATAAGGCAGGGTTAGAAAGTTCTGCTTGTATTTATGTTGACTGAAATCTGCTACAAGACAAGTGAAAAATGTAAAGTGGTTGGACATACAATGCTCGGCGTAAAAGATATTTCTTTAGAATATCTGAAAATGTTTCAAGTTATCTCTGATTTAGGTCACCGTTGCTTTTATTTACATCTCTCACCATTTAATCCTGGTGTAGTTCACTGCTGGTGAAGTCATGTGACAATGCTAATAGCAGACGAACGACCGTATGTAATCCGCAACATATAAATCATTAAAATCTTTTAAAGGGCTGTAAAATTTTAACTAAAAGTTGGGTACTTGTAAATGTATGAACCTTATTTGGTTGTTACAATTTATTCAATATGTTTTCTTCATAAGATAAAAAAACATTTTAATCGAAAAACAGACCTGCATCATGTAGATCTAGTACTGTACGCCAAGCTATGGTACAATTTCACACAAACCGCTCTTGTTTTATCCGGACTATCTATAGCTCCCGCCATGTACGTCATTGTGATTAGCAAATTTTACACAATGGATATTTAAAACAATATCAAATGGACATATAACATTGAGGTTTTTTGACGTTGATTTGAATTTGTCATATCAAATATAGTATTATTATGACGAGCGTTGGTCCACCCATTCTAGTCTGGAAAATGAACAAATAAGAAGACGAGTGGAATGCAATTACATTCAATATATTAAGATTTCACCAAGGAACACATAAATCAAGCCAATATTTTTGTGTATATATATATATATAATACACAAAGTATAAAGTGCTGACAGGTGTATTTGATTCACGCTCTTGTCTTATGTCTATTATTTATTAAATTGTAATTAAAGCAGTGTTTATATACTGCAATATTTCATAACATACCCCAAAATATTAATTGGATTGGTTTCCATATTTTCTTTTGTTAGTGTAAACATTAACTTCAGCAGTCTTTTACTACTTTCCGCATTCAATTAATATCAATATTCATTAAAAAAAAATAATGCCATTTACAACTTCAGTTTATCTCGAACATCAGATGTTTGAAGTGTATGCCACAAAATGTAACATGCAGGATGTTGAGTTAAATTTAGCAGTTGCTCGTCCTACAGGACAAGTGACTTTAAAAATCATTTTTGATTCCAGGTATAGTTCCTGAAATTAAAATCATATTAAAATCAGGCATTAAAATCACGATGATCAACAAGAAGCCACAAAATGGAATAAGTAGTATTTGCCTGATTAGATAATAGATAAGGTAGCGCTAATCAGGAGTTGCCTGTCTCTATTATATTATGTCTAATGTTTGATACTTCATGATTTTTTTTTGGCAGTACTGTACTTACATGTTGTTCTTAATTTAGAATGTTGTAATTTCAGAACGAGGAGATCGACAGTGATGATCTGGATGTGGAGGCACAAAGATACATGCTGTCGAAAACTGTTAACAGTGACCTTTGTCAACAATATCCACCTTCTATACAATATCAAAGAACTTTCATCAAGAAATTACTCACAACAGTATGTTTAACTTCCATTACCTGTTGCTTGACTTGTAACTAGCCAATTAACGTTTTCCAAGTTCTGTCAGTCTTTTTACTTAAAGGACTATGTGTTAAGCGTTACTTATCTTCCATATTAAAGTTGTATTCAATAGAGGGTTTTGTGCATTACCATTTGCAGAAGTAATGAGGACATATTTAAAACCAGAGTCTGCAGCACCATGGATTTAGTAAGTCAAAGGGCTTCTGATATTCTTGCATAAATGAATGCTGTTGGGTTTTCATAATGAAACTACTGATGCAGTCTGCAGTAAGCTATTTTTAGATGTCACCAGGCCCCGTGTTCACAAAGATTCAAGGATCAGGATCAAGATCAGGATCAAATTTAAAAACCCTGATATTCTTCATTGTTTATCCTCATAGATAAATATCTGATTATAAATTTGATAAAACTGGACTTGAAATAGCAAGTATATGAAATTTTAGAATAAATTAATTGTTTAATTTTGCAAGATATGGGCATTTTACACAGTTGATCCAAATAGTTTGATCCTGATCCTAAAATTGATCCTTATTTTGAATCCAAATATGTTTTTTGTATTTGTGTTGTTATTTCTTGATTTTATCCCAAAATAGTTGTTTTCCTTGTGAAATCAGCATATTTTTACATTTTGAATATTTACAATTTAATTCAACAAAACACAAATAATTTTAGTAACATTAAACAATGAAAATAAAATCAGGATCACTTGATCCTGATCCTGATCTTTTCTTAGTGAACACGGGGCCAGGAGTCATTCAAATAAAAAAATGTGAAACAACAGGGAATGTTTGTGTGTTTTTATCTTTGCATGCTTTCTTCTCTGTTAATGTATACTTGCCGGAGCAGACGTTATCCAAGAATGCACTTTAAAACATTATTGTTCCTCTATGACTTAATGCTTAATGTATAGACAAGATGCTTGATTGCTCAGTTAATCTGAAACCCTCTCTAGTCAGCTTCCAGGAACTGTTGCTTTTGAGGACTAAGAAAATGTCACATGATAAGTGGGAATAAGATCTATATTTGAATGCATAATTTTATTATCGGATTCATTGATAGAATGTTTAATAAGAACATACTAGTAATGGTTTGTTTTGCAGCTGGAAGGTTTTGGTGTAGAAATATGTGATGAGCTTTACGAGACATATACAGCACTGTTACAATGTAAAGACCTAGAGGAGGACACACTGTGCTACAAAACCTACACAGTTGTAAGTTACACTCATATATCAATGTATAACCTGCTGTTTGACCAAAGTTCTTGTTTTTAGGTCATAATTGTTGGCCTCATGGCTTGGGGTTTGACTGAAGTTTAGTCGTTTGTAATTATGCCCCCATTTCGAAGAAAAGGTGGTATATTGCTTTACACTTGTCGGTCCGTCGGTCCGTAGACCAAATGGTTTCCGAGTGATAACTAAAGAACCCTTAGGCCTAGGAACTTCAGACTTGGTATGGTGATTGGTCATGACCAGTAGATGACCCCTATTGATTTTGGGGTCAACGGGTCAAAGGTCAAGGTCACATTGACCTTGTAAGCAAAAACGGTTTCCGATCAATAACTAAAGAACTTTAAGGCCTAGGAACTTCAAACTTGGTATGGTGATTGGTCATGATCAGTAGATGACCCCTATTGATTTTGGGGTCAAGGGGTCAAAGGTCAAGGTCACATTGACCTTGTAAGCAAAAACCGTTTCCGATCAATAACTAAAGAACTTTAAGGCCTAGGAACTTCAAACTTGGTATGGTGATTGGTCATGATCAGTAGATGACCCCTATTCATTTTGGGGTCAAGGGGTCAAAGGTCAAGGTCACATTGACCTCTTGGGTAAAAACGGTTTCTGATCAATAACAAAAGAACCCTTAGGCCTAGGAACTTCAAACTTGGTATGGTGATTGGTTATGACCAGCAGATGAACCCCTATTGATTTTGGGGTTTAAGGGGTCAAAGGTCAAGGTCACATTGACTTGTAGGTAAAAACGGTTTCCGAATCAATAACGAAAGAACCCTTAGGCCTGGGGACTTCAAACTTGATATGGTGATTGGTCATGATCAGTAGATGACCCCTAATTGATTTTGGGGTCAAGGGGTCAAAGGTCAAGGTCACATTGACCTCTTTAGGTAAAAAACGGTTTTCGATCAATAACTAAAGAACCCTTAGGCCTAGGAACTTCAAACTTGGTATGGTGATTGGTCATGACCAGCAGATGACCCCTATTGATATTGGGGTTAAGGGGTCAAAGGGCAAGGTCACATTGACCTTGTAGGTAAAAATGCTTTCAAATACATAACTTAAGAACCCTTAGGCCTAGGAACTTCAAACTTGGTATGGTGATTGGTCATGACCAGCAGATGACCTATTGATTTTGGGGTCAAAGGGTCAAAGGTCAAGGTCACATTGACCTTGTAGGTAAAAACGGTTTCCGATCAATTAACTAAAAATTAGGGATGGCAACGAATACCAAAATCAATACTCGAGTACTCGGTCATTTTTCCGATCGAGTACTCGGTTACTCGGATGATTTCCAATGATATTTAAAGTTTTATCACACAATATCAACACCGTCTGCATGCTACTTTCGTTTTCAATTTTAATTCATAGAATTCGTAACTATAAATAGGACTGCAAGAAATACATATATAAATATAAACATAAGAAATGTCAATGACAGCATTTATTACATGTACCTACAAATTTTCTCCCTAGAATACAGGATGAACTTGAAGCGCAAATACGCTTCAACGGATAGAAAAGTCCGTATTAGTTAGTGACAAATATGGTACCATATATGGAAGTGACGGACTATTTTTGACGTTGGTTCCTATCTTAGCTGTGTATAAACGTAGCATTTGGAAACGGAAACCAAAATTATAAAAGGCAAAAACTCAGTCATAGATTGATTTCTTGACAGCTACATTTAATTTTCTGAAATTTCTTATAGAAGTGTAGAATAATGAAAATCATTTATAATTCAAACGAAAAGGTATATAATAAAAGGAAAATTATGTTGTAGTAGCTTTCTGAGCCTATGCATTTTTCTACTCGCAATGTAGGAAAATACAGTAGATATTTCGCTCGACCTTCGGTCTCGCGAGATATCAATTTTTCCACCTCTGCTCGTGGCAAAATACAAAGCTTCAACATAATATTCTGTATATATTTACGTTTTTATAATTAACAAGTTTCGGCTACAAACTGTCTAATATTTAAAGGTTATTAAATATCTTTAGAGGCCGAATGACATAAACGACACCATACGCGTGTCAAACTGCTTATCGCCTCGTAAAATTTAAGATATCATTTTCACACCTCTGAAAGGATGTTTTGATTGCATTTAACAAGTATTTATTCAGATATGTGTACATTTCCGAATTTCGGAACTAATCGTTCTAAATCGCATAAAAAAGTAGAAAATAAATATTTTTTCCGAGTAATCGAATATCAATTTTGTAAACCGATATTCGGACGTTCGATCGAGTACTCGGTTAACCGGTTACTCGTTGCCATCCCTACTAAAAATGCTTAGGCCTAGGAACTTCAAACTTTGTATGATGATTGGTCATGACCAGCAGATGACCCCTATTGAGTTTTTGGTCAAGGGGTCAAAGGTCAAGGTCACATTGACCTTGTAAGTAAAAACGGTTTCTGATCAATAACTTAAGAACGCTTAGGCCTAGGAACTTCAAACTTGGTATGGTGATTTGTCATGACCAGCAGATTACCCGTATTGATTTTGGGATCAAGGGGTCAAAGGTCAAGGTCACATTGACATTGTAAGTAAAAACGGTTTCCGATCAATAACTAAAGAACGCTTCGGCCTAGAACTTCAAACTTGGCATGGTGATTGGTCATGACCAGCAGATGACCCCTATTGATTTTGGGGTCAAAGGGTCGAAGGTACATTGAACCTTGTTTATGTTAAAAAATACGGTTTCCTATCAATAACTAAAGAACCCTTAGGTCTAGGAACTTCAAAACTTGGTATGGTGATTGGTCATGACCAGCAGATGACCTATTGATTTTGGGCAGGTCAAGCGCGGTCAACGGTCAAGGTCACATTGACCTTGTAGGTAAAAACGGTTTCCGATCAATTAACTAAAAACGCTTAGGCCTAGGAACTTCAAACTTTGTATGATGATTGGTCGTGACCAGCAGATGACCCCTATTGAGTTTTGGGTCAAGGGGTCAAAGGTTAAGGTCATGACCAGTAGATACTTGATAACCCTTATTAATTGTTTGATCACTGGGTCAGAAGTCATGCATAATAACCTTATCACATGACTAATTGGCTGCTGATAGGGGGCATACATGTTTTACAAACATATCTTGTTTCACAAAAATTTGTGGTTAATGTTTTACATGCAGGTGAATTCTTTGTACTCTAAAAACACATGAAACTATACTCATGATTGTAGGTTAGTTTTTAAGATATATATAGAAACAAAATAAGTTTTACTCTCTTTACGCACTGAAAAAAGCCAAGCATGCTGTCGTGCCAACAGCTCTTGTAAATTAAATATACCCAAGTTTTGCATTGATTGCTATTGAGAAAAATCTTCCCCTTTGGGATTTTTTACAAACATATACCTGCTCTTGTTTTTAGTATCAAACTCATAGAATAGTAAAGAATACTGTCTTTAAGTGGCAGCTCTTGTTCAAATTTGTTCAAATTTGTTACTTTGTATCATTGAAGGATGAAGATGTCAGAATAACAATTCAGGAATCTGTGAACATGATCTCCTTCGGTACAACAGGGTTGAGTACATGGCAGGTAAGATCTCTTTTGGTACAACAGAATTGAGTACATGGCAGGTAAGATCTCTTTTGGTACAACAGAATTGAGTACATGGCAGGTAAGATCTCTTTTGGTACAAGAGAACTGAGTACATGGCAGGTAAGATCTCTTTTGGTACAACAGAATTGAGTACATGGCAGGTAAGATCTCTTTGGGTACAACAGAATTGAGTACATGGCAGGTAAGATCTCTTTTGGTACAAGAGAATTGAAGTACATGGCAGGTAAGATCTCTTTTGGTTTACAACAGAATTGAGTACATGGCAGGTAAGATCTCTTTTGGTACAACAGAATTGAGTACATGGCAGGTAAGATCTCTTTTGGTACAAGAGAACTGAGTACATGGCAGGTAAGATCTCTTTTGGTACAACAGAATTGAGTACATGGCAGGTAAGATCTCTTTTGGAACAACAGAATTGAGTACATGGCAGGTAAGATCTCTTTTGGTACAACAGAATTGAGTACATGGCAGGTAAGATCTCTTTTGGTACAACAGAATTGAGTACATGGCAGGTAAGATCTCTTTTGGTACAACAGGATTGAGTACATGGCAGGTAAGTTTTTATCAGATTATAATTATAATGATAATAGATTAATCCATAACCAGTTAGAACCTGAAGTGATAATCCTTTGCCATCAATATAGAACCAGGCCAGCCTACAATATGGTGTGGAACTTCAGGAGTGAGTAACAAAAATGTAATTTTTTAATGCGTTCGAGTTTCTATACTTAGTGACAACAATGATAGGCCTTCACATTTATGCCACCACTATAATGCCAGCTAGCATATAAAGAAAATCAAACTAGACAATACATATATGCAGTTTTATTATTCTGAAATTTCAGAAGTTCCGAATTATTCATTTCCAAATCAAAAGTGAGACATGTCCATTAATTAACATTAAACAAAAACGGAAGAATGCAGGTTTAAAGATTTATTTTTGTTGTTGAAATTCAGCTTTATTTAGTGAATAGACAGGATATTTTAAAAAGATTTTGGGCAGTGTCTCATAGGCAAAGTTTATGAAATGACTTGACAAATTATTGCAATAAAAGATTGACAGACTGGTAAGAAATGAAAATTGTATAGACTTGGAATGTGGCAGGGAATAAAGGTTTCGTAAAAAAACTGATTAAGGTTCACAAAATATATTTTTAATATTCTATATGTGTAGTTTTTTTAGATGTTGTTCAATACTGGTTTAAGATGGTGTTGGTGCAATATTGGATATCTGTCCATTTATCAATATTTTTTTATTTCCTTAAATATCTTCGGGGTAAAATATTATGTAAGAGTATTTAAGTTATGTTTTATTGATGGTCACTTTACTCCTTTAGGGTTTAGTGGTAACATTATAGCTGTCATAATACTATAACAACAACAACAACAACAACACTTTTATTTGTAAATAAAGGCCTCAGGCCCAAAATACAGCAAATTTGATATAATATCATATATTTTAGTTACATATTATTGACAGCCATTTGAGACCTACAAGCCTTGGGCTATATATGAGTCTGGACATGCGGTGTCAACATTATAAGATATGATTTAACATTTCCTGGTATTGTACAACTTTCATGACATTCCTAGTATCAAGTCAAAATACTTTATTTTGGTGGGAAGTGCCCATATGTAAACGTTTATAGACTCAAAGGATTATATGGAAAGTGATTTATCAAAAATATAAAAATGTTACTGAGGAATAATATGGTAGATTACTCTTTATAATGGATAGAAGTTTGTTATTGAAGACAATGACTTAACAATTACACCAGCATTCTGCAAGGTATGTGTAGCTTTAAGAATTGTATGTTACTTGTGTTTCTTGAAAATACCTTACTGCATCACATATACAAGTGTTTTAATACAGAACTGGTTGGTGGTAAAGTTTTATAATAAATCATTTTTTTGTGGTTATCTGTTATTGAAAATCTATGCAAAGAGAAAAGAAGGAAATATTTCTGTACTTTATGCTGTTTTAAGAGACTTAGTATTCCTTACAATAGTTTACAATTGAATCTCATTGGTATATATAAAATATGTACTCATAAGGACTTCCTTATGCATTGTTTAAGAGCCTGATCTTAAACAGACTCTACTAAGACATGACAAGACAAGGAATACTTTTCTGAGACTTTTGTACCATTTCATGAAGGTCTAAACCAATAACTTGTGTGCAAATTTTTCGTTCATTTCCTCCACCCGATTTTAAAAGAATAATCATTGTACTGTGCAAAGTGACCCTATGACTCAAATCGAGCTAAAAATTGCACTGACTATTGAAGTTCAATTTAATTCTGATTATATTACTCTATTATTCTATTAGTATATTACTATATTAACCTTTGAGTATATTTCTTTACTATCTTTTGTCAATTTAAAAGTGCTTCACTTGATCTATGTGAAAATTTCAAATTTTATGTTTCTTGGCTTTTTGATCTCAGTGGATCTTTAAAGACTGCATTTGGGTTCAGTTCATTCACATTTGAAATAAATTATATTTGTATAAGATCACTAACTCCAATGTTGATTTTATTACAGGCTGCCCAGCACTTAGCAGAATGGGCATTGCAGAACAAAGAGAAGTTTAAAGATAGGTAAGTGCACGCATTCTTAGTTTTAATCAATTTTCCAAGTTAGATTTTAAATTGAGAAACTTAAGTTGATCTAATGAACCGAGGTACTGAGTTTAAGTCACAGTACAGAGCCCCTAACCCCCCCCCCCCCTTAAAGGGCCAAAACAACATAGTTTTGTCTATAGACTTGTTTAATTTCAGTAAGATTTGGGCCTATAATGCTGTTCCTGTTCAAGTTATGGTACATGCTTAACTTTTTGGCTATCCTAGAATTTTAATAAGACCATTTTTGTACTGGCTAGGGTGTGGACATCACACTTTGGTTATTTTTTTATTTTACAAGCTGGTATCTTCAAAACTATTGAAAGGAAAGTTATATATCTGATGCTGAAGGTAACACAATTATTGTTAGAATTTTGATATAGAATAATTCCATAGTACCTGTATGACAGAAATGTTTGTGTATAAGTTTTAGAGCAAATGGTACATGTACTAAATGATAAAAATCCTACTTAAGATAGAGCATTTTATTCTGTTTATGTACAATTCTTATATATGTTAACTGAGAGGGACATTCTATCTTACAACTTTTTCAAGATTCTGCTTTAGGATTAGGGAAACAACATTTTTTACTGTTTATAAATTGCATGAAAAATTACCATCAGATATAGTTTTATACCTTTTAGATAATGAAATAGTATATTTTATGTTTGATATCTATGTTACAGGAATGTATTGGAGTTAGGCTGTGGTTTAGGACTTACTGGACTGAGTGTTTGTAAACAATGTTGTGTTAACACGTACACATTCACAGACTGTCATACACAGGTTCTTGATCTCCTACATAAAAACATATGTCATAACTTTGAGTTTCGTGTAAATGAACCAAAGTGTGTTGAAAACAATACAGATATAATGGCTGACCAGAATGGTTTGAAAAGTGATCAGAAAGACTGTGATACTGAAAATATATGTGGAACCAGACCAGACTGTGATACCGTTTCCTCCAAGTCCGCTGCTAGTGATGATAAAAGTGGACCCAGTCTGTCTAAAAGTTACAGTTATGGGGAAAATGAGTCAACTGTGCAACAGAAAGGACATGTTGGTTATTTGGATAGGGCAGAATGTGATTCATCAACTGAATGTGATAAAAGATTAATAAGTAACGGTGATATAAACAAAGACCAGGTATCAGATATAAAAGAGTTTAGATTAAATGAGACCTCAGGCTGTAAGTGTATACAACTAGCTAAGCTTGACTGGGAGAATATTACTGACAAATTGGTAGAAAAATTAGCAGTTTCAGATGTGATACTGGCAGCAGGTAAGTGTTTGGTATTTTATAATGAAATTGTTACATGTATGTTATTGTAAATCAAAAAGATTAACTGGCTTTGTGGATGATTGTTTTGAGTTGATTGACTTCAAATCACCTGTATGTACTTGGCCTTATTCAAATAAACAAGCCCTTCTTACAGGAAATGTATAAAGCTCAAAAAAAAAAATTTGTAAACATGGGAATTTTACTAGATTTTAAATATTCTTGCTTACAAAACATTGGTGGTTCTACTGAGGTGCCCGTTTGTGCCTGAAATAATGCACAAAAGGGTACCTGATGTCTTCCTCCACCACTAAAGCTGCGAAGTCGCCATATGACCTAAAATGTGTTGGTGCTACGTAAAACCTAACCAAAATCAAAGAAATAATGATAACATAAATTATGACTTTGGTGTTTCAGATGTGGTGTATGATAACAGGATCATTCCAGCTCTTGTGTCGGTATTGAAGATGTTCCTAGGAAGGAGGTCAACATGCTCGGCATACGTGGCTTCTACTATACGTAACGAAGATACTAGAGATCAGTTTCTTGTTTCTCTCAGTAAGTATTATAAACTTTTATTTCAAGCTTGGTTTACATCATAATAAATGTTTATTTAATCTTTAAAGCTGATTGTTTGAGAGATAGTAGTTTGATCCTAGTGTTGTCGCATAACTGAATTAAAACATTTTGGGCCACCTGCGGTCTTATTTCTGCCTTTGAAACCAGTCTGTATTTGTTATAAATTTGTAAAATGTTCGTTTATTATATGCATAGATAATTATCTGAAAATCTGTCGAAAGTTGACATTGTTTAATGTGTGTTAATAATTTATGAAAGTTGAAAGTAATTGATCTGCTTTTAAATCACATTTGTTGGCGTCATTATGATAAGGTGGTTGACTTCAAATCACTTGCCCCTCACTGCTGTGGGTTCAAATCCTGACAGGGACTTGTGATTCTTTCATGTGAGGAAGCTATTCAGCTAGCATACAGAACAATGGTGGTTTTACTCCAGTGCCCTTTCGTGCCTGAAACAATGCACTGAAGGGCATATGACATCACCAGTAAAGCTGGAAAATTGCCATATGACATACTGTGTAAAACCCAACCAAAAAACAAACAAACACACACACATATTAACTGTATGTTTAAAAATAAGTAATGTTGTGATTATAAGAGATCAAACTGTATCTTTAGTTTAACTTTATTTTCTAATAGATAATGAAGGTTTAAAGTATGAACAAGTGGATCCACCAACAGTAAAGCTCTTCCATTATGACAGAAGTGTTCCAATTGAGATAATTCACATCACTCGATGACAGCTGTTCCAAATGAAATCATCCGCATCACCCTATAACAACGACAACAACAGAGTTCTTATGGTTTATTTTTTCTTTTCCTAGTTATAGAAAATACCTTTTTGTTTTTGCAAACGTTAAAGAAATAGATACAAAATGTTAAGTTAAATACTGATTATATTAATTGTAAACAGCACAATTATTGTGCAGCAGTATTTCATTTGAAATATTTTAAACAAAATATAGAAGAAATATTTTTAATCTAAATATAAAGTAATGGTCTCTTGGAAAGTACTTTTTAATTCCAGTATCCTGAAAATTTCTTCCAAAAAATTCTGAGATGATTAACATTCTTAAACTACATTGTTGGAAATTTGTGATTGAATACAAACTTGTAGTTAGTGCTAATCTTTATCCTTAAGTTTAAGGTATTGGCCATAATAGAGGTATCTATTTAGCCATACACAAGGCTCATCACGTGCCGGGTCAAACTTCCCTACGATGTCAATGAACAAGGGCCTACCTTTCATTTCTGGTGTTGGTTCCATTATTTCTTCTCGTGGGATGTCTGACGTGCAGGTGGAGACTTCTTTTGTTGTAGTGAGCCCGTTAGATCTTAAGTTGCGCACTAATTCTGGTTAGTTAAAATCTGAGGTACAGGACCTAGTGTTATGACCTCCAGCGCACCGGCCACAAGTAATTTTGTTCTTGCACGATTTAGAAATGTGCCCGTATCCCAGACAAAGAAAACAACGTTTTGGAGGGTGTACATAGGTCTCCGTCCTATATACTAATTCCGTACCCTCGCCCGCGATGCCCACAGTGATGGGGCACACCCCTGCGAAGGTCAACTTAACCGCTCCAGAATCTTGCCTAAGCTTATTCTGGAGTCTGTCGACCCTCACAAGTGAGGCCCCATCAGATCTGTCATATTCCAACTTGTGTTGGAATTCTTACAGATCTTCCTCCAGCGGAATGCCGTGTATCACTACCTCATAAAGGCGTTCCTGAGGCAGTCCTTAAACAATGCACTCCAACCCCCCCCCCCCCCCCCCCCCCAAGCTTAAACTTGGGTAGATAAAGTGCTTTGTTCAGTGCTTCTATATACTAATTCCGTACCCTCGCCCGCGATGCTCACAGTGATGGGGCACACCCCTGCGAAGGTCAACTTAACCGCTCCTGAATCTTGCCTAAGCTTATTCTGGAGTCTGTCGACCCTCACAAGTGAGGCCCCATCAGATCTGTCATATTCCAACTTGTGTTGGAATACTGACAGATCTTCCTCCAGCGGAATGCCGTGTATCACTACCTCATAAAGGCGTTCCTGAGGCAGTCCTTTAACGATGCACTCCACCCCCCCAAGCTTAAACTTGGGTAGATAAAGTGCTTTGTTCAGTGCTTCTGTAGACGCGAATTCAAGAAAAATGTTGCCCGACGCGAGGGGTGTTGCCTTAAGCACATTTTTGATCTTTAGATTGATTTCACTTGAATTTTTAAAGTGGTAATCTTACCATCTAGCCCTTTTAGGACCCCGACATTCCTGGCTACTGCCTTGTTTGCCAAGGACACCCGACAGGTCCCTATAGTGACGGGATGGCCAATATCTCAGCCTCATTGTTATTCAAAATTATTCACTGCGGACCAGCCGCCTATTCATATAAAACTAGTAATATACTAGTGTATTAAAGGTTCTTTATTAAAAATGGTATGAGATACCAGCTCTTCTATTGGTGTATATAAAGAACACAGATTTTATGAATGATGCACACAACAGGTAAACAAACCAAACACACACTATATTGGTCAAATACGACCGAATGCTCTGTTAAAAATGTACTTTAGATTATAAGTGAATAAAACAGTTCCTATAATAAAACAAAGCATTCAAATAAATTTATATAGATTAGTGGGAGGAAAGGTAAGAATGTTGTCTAGTAGTAAGTAGTGGGTGGGGTACGGCCGTCGGGTGAGATGTTCTTGGAGCGCAGTGGTGTCGTAGTGGTTGGCGCAGTGGTGTCGTAGTGGTTGGTAATGTTGTGGAAGTAGATGTAGTGCCGCCGCCAGTTATTGGTTTATAGTCTATTGTTTGGTTTGTGCTTACAAGTGTCCATTAGTGCTCTTTTTAACGTTTTTTGGCTATTTTATTTCTTCGCAATTTGTTTGTTATGCCGGAAACGGTGCTACAATTCTGGTTGTGGCTGTCTTCTGCTCATTCAGCGTATCTTTGTCTTTGAATTTGATGCCTAGATTCTCACACCAGTTTTTACAGGGGATTTTTGTGTTGTATAAGCTTTGTATTTGGCTGGGTTTTACTGAACAAGCAGACGCAAGTTTGTTGATAAAATAGAAGTTTTTTATTTTTATTATTTTATGATAAAGTTATTAATCAAAAGCAGCATAAAATATTTAAAACAAGATATATATTGTATTATTTTAAGCTATTAAAGTATTAAACTATGAATACATATTGAAAGTGAATTTAACAAGCATAGTAAAAATTACTGTATATTAACAAATACAACTGAATGTACATACAACATGATTTACATTTATATAAGTTAATAATTTTAAAAAGTTATTTTTTGTTATTTTCACAAGGGATCTTTGCGTTGAATTGCTTTGGAGTTGGCTGGGTTACACTGAACAAGCAGACCCAAGTTTATTGTAAAATAGAAGTCTTTTATTTTGATAATTAAATCATTAAACAAGAGAAGCATTAGATATTCAAGAGAAGATATATTTTGTATAATTTCAAGCTATTTAAGTGTTTAATCATGAACACATATTGATAGTTAATTTAACAAACATAGAAATAATTACTGTGTATTAACAATTACAAATGAGTGTAAATAAAACATAATTTACATTTATATAAGTCAGTAATATAAGAAAGTTGTTTTCTGTTATTTTCAGTTAGTACTTATATTTAACACAAGATTGATAGATAAGATAAGTACATAGTTTTTAATATTACAATATTAGAAATGAAAATATATAAAATGAAAAGGAAAATGAACAGCAGGTTCCCGATTTTGCCTCTGAGGCCTGCTGTCCACTTCATTCAACTGATTCCGCGCTCTTTTCCTGCCTCAAGTTGCCGTCTCGGCATCTCTCTTCCCTTTTCCTCGCGGCATGATTCTTAAAAACTTTTAACAAGCAATTTTTCGACTCGGTAAGCAGTGTGGCAATAACCCAGATGAATGTTTATTACCTCCCTTGAGACAGGATAAACTCCATACCGTACCTTATTACAGGGCGGTAATAAATCAAGTACTCGGACTTTGATGTGTTTAAATAAGATTATCGAATATAAAATTCTTGCTAATCTCTCATATTAGAAATGAAAATATATAAAAATTCTTACCTGAACAAGCAGACACAAGTTTGTTGTAAAATAGAAGTCTGCCTGTTCAGTTTGAAGACTCTCAATATATACCAAAAGGGTAGACTAATAAATGTCACCTTGTCAGGAAATAACTCATTAAACATATATACATGAAACATTAAAATGATATAATAAATTTGTAAAACATTATTTACAGTCATTTTCAAATACACTATAGTGCTTGAGGGAGCTGTCTGTCTGACAGCTGTCAGCTGTAGCTGTGTGACAACATCCCCTGCTTCCGAAGAAATCCATGCTCCGACATGGAACTGGCAATTGAGGATTTGGAAGGCACGGTGTCCTTGTTGTCACTTGGTTGGAACTCTGTGTGATGAACAGACCCTTATTTTCATGACATGTAGGATTGACCCTTGAACCTCATTATATGTACATAGATACCTTTTTCTTAGACATAAGAAAAGTTAAAAATATATATATGTGTTCAAATTTAAATTGTATTACATGTACACATAGTAAATGACATGTTTTAATAATATTCTTACAAATTGGTACTCAGAGGTACGTAAGAAACAAACATGAAATAAACAGAAATAAGTTCACTGAAAAGTACTTGAAAATATATCTTAACATATGTACTGAGTTGTACTATAATGTTCAGAAATGTACTTTTAATAAAAACACGTGTACTAAGTAGTACAGGCAAAGAATAATGAAAACATTTACAAGTACTGAGTAGTACTGAAAAATATCACAAGTACTGAGTAGTACTGAAAAAGATTAATGATAAATATTCAAGTACTGAGTAGTACTGAAAAATATGATGAATATTCAAGTACTAGGTAGTACTGAAAAAGATTAAGGATAAATGTTCAAGTACTGAGTAGTACTGAAAAAAGATAAAAAGTACTAATTAGTACTTTAAAATGTCAGTGATTGTCTTCAGCATACAATATTGAATCACAATGACGTTGGTGATGGTAGTGGTAGGCACTTTGTTGAAAAGTGGGATTGACCTTTGAACCTCTTACATAAAACAATACTAGTTTTTCGAAACAAAGAATACAAAAATATTTATATAAAATAAAATGAATTAGTTCTAATATAGCAAAAATAATTAAACGCTCAAAGGGGAAAAATGTTCATCTATTTTCATTACTTGATAGGCTAAAGATTCTAAGAAGTAATTTGCTTGATTGATGTCTTGTTTTAAATATAATACATGTATGTGTATTAAGAATTTCTGTAGAAGTTTTTTAAAGGATCCAAACACGGACTATTGTATGAAGATTGTGGTGTTTGTAATTTTGTGCATGTAGAATGTATTGACATACATGTGTGATTATGTTTTGTAATTAGGTCTTCGTTCCAATCATTCCCCAGACAAAGTAGGTATAACTACTGCCAGGAGTAGAAACTCATGGACGTAGAAAAGAAGAGTTCTGTGAATAAGAAGGGTAGAGTTATAGGAATTGTAAGGTTGATATCCGGGTTAGCACTAAGTTCATGAGACCTGCCCATTACTTATAATATTTTACAATTCTTGTTTGGAACATTTGTCCATTTTGTGTTTGTGTGTCATTGTAACTATGTTTTAAGGATTAAGTACATACATTGAACATATTGTAAATTATCAGACTACAAATGTACTAATGTTTTATAATTTGATGTCTTGTGAAAATGTAAAAGTCATTAGAGAACTTGCTAATGTTATGTATTTGTATTTTGCCACAAAAGAAAGACTACATTTTTTCACTTAAGATTGCTTTGACCAAATTGAAGAAAAAATGTTCTTATTAATGTTTTAATATCATTTTTGACCTCATCTTATAAATTTAATGAAAAAGCCAATTAAATGCTGAACTTATAATCTAAACATATTACTTAAATCAGATTCTTTAAATTTCACTACATGACCGTAATAAATATATCTACTTAACCATAAATGAGGTTCATGTTTAAACTGGTCAAAATTTTCCCACTATATCAACATTTGGCCTACCTTTTATCTGCACTGTCAAGGTTTCGGATTCCATGCTTGTTGGTTCCATTGTTATTTCTCGAGGGCTGTCCGATGTGCACGTGGAGACTTCTTTTGTATTGAGCCCGTCTGATCTTAAATTTCTCACAAATTCTTGTTGTGGCTTCCTTCTGCTCATTCAGTGAAATTTGCTGTTTGCGGATTCTCACACCAGTTTTCACAAGGGATCTTTGTTGTACACCGTATCGGATATCGGATCATTATATGTAATATCCAATTTGGTGTAACAATTTGTTTCAAGATTCTTGTGTCTGTAATAATAAGTTGACAATATTAGATCTCTGGTAGATTTATTTTGTCTCAGTCAATTTAGTAATATGTCTATCAAATACAATACAAAACATAAAACATCATTCAAAAAGAAATCATACAAGTAATGTATATGTATCTGAAATTATCTCTATATTATAAAAGATTTCATAATTTGACTCATTCATTTCATTTAGATATTCAAACATCAATAAAAACAATTTAGATAACAATATAGATTTATACTATCTAAACAAATGACATAATATTTCTTCATTTTTATTCAAATAAATTATTTAAAGTGGGGAATTACATATAAGTTACTCGCAAGGCACATGCTAAGTACCGAAATGTTTTTCATGAGATCATGCTTTTTTAAACAACAATATTACTAACTGATTGT